TCCACAGATGCGCTGCGGTACTCATTAACCAATCACATCTCTCTCAGCTCAGTCAAAGACGCCGATCTTCTGTAGTAGATGTGTGCGTGTTTAGGGGAGGGAGGGGGGGGGGGGGGCTGGGGCGTTTATCCCAGTCCCCGTCAATTTGCAGAATTTCTAGAGTGTATTCATTCTATGAACTTTTAAAGTGTTACTATACTGTCAACTATATGCATTTTTTGTGCGTTTATTCCCTTAATATGAATTTTATAATAACGCTTTTAAATCAGCATTTGATATAAATGAAATATCTACCGATATTCGTGCAGCTTTTTAAATGTTTACGTTTTCTCTTGCCTTTAGAATAAGTTAATCAAACGTGAACGACAAAGGGAGGAATACAGTTGATGGCCTAGAGTGTCGATAGTGAGCTGCTTATGAAATAGCGACCTTCCCCTTCCATTATTACGAGACTAACTCATCCCCTCGAAAATGATTCGACGCCTCTCCTTCACAGTTAGAGGCCCGAATTCACAAAGGAGGTTTGTCGACAAACCTTGGTTTTCGTACGTCATATGGCGCGTTTTTTACAAACCTGGTTTGTAAAGAACAAAAGGAGGTTTGGCGAAACAAAAGGAGGTTTGAGCTCAAACCTTGGTCTGAGCTCAAACCTTGCTTTGTGAATTCGGGCCAGAGAGTTTTAAGAGTATAAAAGAACTTCTCTGTTTCATTGATAAGTCAATGGTAATAAATGAGTCAGTGAAAAGGGCAACTACTGGAAAGTAGAGGGAGATGTGTCTATTAATGTTCGACTATCGAATACAAGGTTCTAATCGAGATTTTATCCTTATTTTAGTCTTCAAGTTCAAGTTCAAGTTCAAATAAGGTTTTATTCATTACTTGTCAACAAGTCCGAAGACTAAAAATGCAAGTTTACATCAATATAAAAAGCATTCAAAAACATAAAGATAACATAGCAAATGAGGACAAATATATAACAATGAATACATTTTTAAGTTAAAACATTAAAGTAGTAACAAGAAAACAAAACAACAAAAAAAGATTTTAAAAAAAATAAAAGATATGAAATATTGCTAGCAAAAATGAATAAATCTTGTCCTTAAAACAGGATTCAGAAATCATTACTAGGAGAACACGTTCAAGGGACCTGGACGGCGTTCACAAACATGTCATCAGTGAAAAATAACAGTTGTTGTTATAAGCTACTAAAATCCTTACTTCTGATTGGTTATCATCAGATTTGTCACTGATTAATGTCATTTGTCATTGAAAAAAGGCTTTGTGAAACGGGCCCCAGCACTCCTCTCGCACGAAAGTACGAGCTTGTTTAACATCCCCTCTGATGATTCCAGACACATCGCACGTTCAAACATGATTCTTTAAACGTTTCTGGCTGTTTTCTTAATCACGGGGAGGTTTCTTTATCCATGCGAATCGGTGAGGAAGTCATCGACAAACCGATACGTCTCCCTTGGCCTTGATGTTGATGATGTTCCATGCTGTCCCATTCCTTGCATGCCAAAACTCCATCGGTTTTTGTCAATGAACCTATTCAATCATCACGATAAAGAGCATCTCTCTGCTCAGGATGATTGTCATTTGTACTCGTAATTTATCTGTAACATTTGGCATCTGTCAAGAGGAAGTCTTCAACGGCGGAGCTCGAAAAACATCCTTACTTTCTCTTCAAACAATAATATTTCTCCAAGGACGCATACACAATTATCAAGGAAGCAAAACATGCCTAATTCCTTTACCTCATCTAATCTTGATGATTTCTTCCTCATAAGGTAATGTTAGATTCCCTTCAGGAAAAACCTTGTAACATATATCAACAGTGTGAGAATGAAGGATAGTTCTGTGTACATTATATATTTATTTTTTTTCAACTGATGCAACGTAAAGAGAAAACCACATACTCTTTCGATCTGTAATTTTGCACATACAGCAGTTTCATAATATTGTTGTTGCTGCTACAGATAAATTAGGAGTTGGCCTTATTGAGGGTTTAGATTAGTAAACATAGAATGCGGAAGAAACGTCATAAACGGTTCTTTAATGAATATATGTGATTGATTAAACAAAATTTCCGCCATTCGAGACCAAGGTTGCACCACATAGTCGAATCAATCAAACAACAGTCTAATACGCATGAGATTAAAAGATTTATCGAGAGGATGAACCATGAAAATTGGACCCTTAGAATAATGTGGTTGAGACTGCTGACAGCGCTATATACGTAAGGCGGAACGCCCCCTATTCGAGGGGCCACATCCCTAAACATGCAAGAATAACATGATCACAAAGACTTTCGAAAAATCAACTTAAGGCAAATTCATTAGCCTTGTCCATCACCTATAGAAAACACGTGAACATTTTATAACATGACTAACATGTATTACATCATCTGATATTATCGAGATAGCTTTGGAGTTGATTTTTTTCGAAAGTTTACGCGATCGTAATGCATTATATTCTGGAAGAAAAGTTTTGATAAGAAGGGCAGTGTCTGATATGTCCTTGTCCCTTGTTACAGTTTTCATAATGTAGGCGTAGTTATTACACTTTGTCAACATACTTTTCACCTTTACCACAGCAATTTGATTTCATCGTTAGAAAATCTCGAAGAAAGGCAAACACACTCGTGTACACATACCTTCATGGTGCTTTAACTCGCCGGCTAAACGACTATCCTCCTAAAATAATTTGGTCGCAATTACAAAATGAAATCATGTCCCATTGATTAATCGAATGTTTCAAAAATGGAGGCATTTACGTCACGATGCAGAAATGAGTCGATGACTGTAATGACGTTATTGATTTCATGGATGATTCCATCCAGTAATACAAATTGATTGCTCAGCAAAGACTATACAGGGTGGCCAAACAAAAAATGGACTAGCTTACTTTCGATAAAGTGGAGCAAACTTCACCGGTACCTGTAGATGGGCAATATTTTTGGAAGAAAAACGATATCAAATTTGCCAAAACGGGTTGAGGATCTTATAAGACGAAACAATGAAACGATTCCTTCACTGACAGTGCTCCTTGCAGAAATGATCGTATAATTGTGTAGTTTCAGAAATGGTATTATGCTTAAGCTTCGGGTAAGCTGCGATAAACGTCAGATTGAACACAAATATAATAGTCCACGCATATTTGTTGTCTTTTATATGAGACGTTTTTAATGTGAGGAGCTTTTCCTTCCGGACGTAGCAGTGAATAAGCCACCTCGGGGTTACTATCTAGGCATGGGCAGAAAAAATTCATTTGTACAAAAATTTAAAAAACATCGAGACGACTGCTTGTTACGTGTTCATTAAATTTATATAATCATTATTTATTTATGCATTGGCAGTACAAACTATGATTATTGCGAAATGCACTAATTTGGACGTCTCCATTTGTAAAAGATCTGTGGATATTTAGGGTTATTTTGTACAAGTGCTTTCTCCGGAGTGGCTCATTTGCCCCACAATATTGGAAGTATGCTTGTACGTTGGCATTTGACCACCCTGTATAACATTCGGTTAGAAGGAATTAACATTGGTGAGACGATTTTGGAAGAGTTATCTCGCAAGAATAAGGCGGTTTTTCTAAAGTTAATTAGGCCTAATAGTTTGATAAATGTAAAGATGTCCAGGAGTGGTAGTTCAATCCCTCACGAATAGTAGTCCTATAGCGCAGTGCACACATTTCGAAACGTAATTTCCTTATATATTATTACCTTTTAAATTGATAGAATTGTACCATGGACAATAAAAAGCTTGGCAGAAATGCTAATTGCCGTTATTTCAACCGGACTTCAAATATTTCCTTTGTTAAGAGCTTTCGGTTTAACTCATCAAAAACGAAGGAAAAAGCTTTGACATTTCATTAATTTATCATCTCATGACTGTGGTTTGTTATTTTTCATTTTCCTTTCGTTTCTTGTTTTTCTCCGAATGATTACATTCATGTTGGGATGGCAATAAATCAAATGTAATGTTTAAGGAAATGAAGCAAATGTTTGGTAATTTTCTAGACAGGAATCGGACATGAATAATACAGATAAATCATTCATGCTTTTGTCATCCGCGATGACTCTTGATTGAATTTATTTTGACCAATTTTAGATTCTATGGAAAATCTAAAAGGCATGACAACGCGAAATTCACATGGAAAACCCCCAAGTTTAAACTTTGGGACGCACGTCTTGTGGTGGAATTTCCATCTAACGTCTACCCCAACAATAGCCATTAATATACCGTGGGAAGTTTGGCATACAATGCTTTGAATAACTATGACACAAACATGTTAAAAAGACGGAAAATGGGCCAAGTAGGAAGTGTTGTAATGTTTACCAAATGTCGTCATAATGGTTAATTTTAATCAGAGAATTGACTGTAGAAGTTAAAGATATAAAGAAAACAGCTAATGTTTATTGCATCGTGGTTTATGAATCATTGAAGTTGTATTACAAAATACGGTATTTGTTTATGATTACATAGCTAAAATGGAGGGGGGAAATGGTGTCTTTGTTTTCTTCAACATGTTCAACAATGGTATTTAAGTCATAGTATTTACTCTTTTTCTTCTCTATTTAATTGTATTGATTTGAAGTTCATCTAGCAATTTTTCTCATATAGATGTTGGAGAAATATAAGAAATGTGATGCTTTTGGGACCCATATTTTGCTTGCTTTATTTGGTTGTTGCCACTTGTTAACAAGTACACTACTTTGTTGCCATGGTTAAAGGACCGACTGTTATTTTCTGTATGTACTTTATATTGTATACTCATTAAGTATTAAATCTATGAAAATGAAAGTAACGAAATGACATTAATGATATCTTCCTAAAGGTGTTCCTCCACCATTATGGCCCGTATTCTACTAAAATTCTTAAGTTGACACTGGGTTTTGGCTTTTGTCCAAAATCAGGTTTAAAAAGGGAAATTAGTATTTATAAAAATTGTATTAATCCATTTTGAACAAATTAAACATTTTTCATTATATTTTTTTCTTTTTTCTTTCACCAAATAGGTCTGATGCTGGCATCGCTCGTATCAGCATCGGAACACATCGCCAAATTCAGTATGAAAGGCATGAGCGGGAGAGTCATTTTCACCGAGGATCCAAGTACAATGGGCGTTCACATCCAGGTCGATCCTCTCATCGGCCTTGAAGACGGCCAGGACTACGAATGGAGCATCCGAACTCTTCCAATGCTCTACGACCGCGAGGATAAGTGCGCCGAAGAGTACATCGGTCCCGTTTACAGGAACCTCACCGCTGCCATCGGGCGCCTTACCAACGTCACCACAGGGTCCATGTATGTAGATCCAATGCCGATGTTAGATGGCAATGATAACATCAGTGGTCGCACTCTCGCCATCGAAGACGCGAATTCCGTCGTGTACTGTGCCTCTATCATTCCCTCAGATGAAGTCATAACAGCAGTAGCGCAGTTTGGGACGCCGCTTGCTGGAACCGTAACGTTTCGCCAACGCGCCGTTGCCGGTGCCGTTACGACTATCTTTGTAGATGTCTACGACGTAACAGAACCCATCATTGCGCAGGACTATGACTGGCACATCAGTGACAACACGGGGATTACAAAAGACATGACCGTAGAAGAGTGGTGTACAGCAACCACCGCAGAAGCATATGCAGATTCTGGTGACCTGACTCCAAAATTTGGTAGCGTCAACGTCAAAACCGTCCTTCTTCGCCAAAGGTACTTTTTCATTGATACAGATATCACCTTGAACGGAGCCGAATCCATCCTGAACAAATCCTTAGTATTCAGCCTTCCCGGGGATGCAGGAACCAGGCAAGCGTGCTCACCCATTCGCCTGGTAAAGTCAAAGACCGTTCGAGCAGAGTTCAGCCAGAATAACGTTACTGGAATCGTCACGTTCACCCAAGCTTCGCTGTGGGAATCGACCAATATCACAGTCGACCTGGAGAACCTGAGGCAGATGGCTGGCGGATACCATGTCCACAAGTTCCCAGTTCCAATGAGATATCTCACTTCAGATTTCCCTGGAAGTAAGTTTGTACCAGAGTCAATTATTTTCCAGAATGGAGAGTTGTTAAGGCTGTGTAGTTCGACATCACTTGAATGTGATGAACAATTAGGAAATAATTTGGAAATTCCAATAATAAAAAACGAGCTTCAAACCGCTTGATAAGAAAGCGACATTTTGTCTAGTTGTTTTGTTTGCTCTCAATGTTACTATTCATTTTTCAATTACGAAGAATTAGATTTCAGCCTTCTGTTTCTATTCGTACTCTACATATATAATTATCTTCGGCGATGTCTGGTAGATTTTAAGGAGTATTTTAATAACAACCTTAGCATGTTTAGTGTGTATTCCCGCTTGTTCAGTGTGTATTCCCGCTTGTTCAATGTGTATTCCCGCTTGTTCAATGTGTATTCCCGCTTGTTTAATGTGTATTCCCGCTTGTTAAGTGTGTATTCCCGCTTGTTAAGTGTGTATTCCCGCTTGTAGTGTGTATTCCAGCTTGTTTAGTGTGTATTCCCGCTTGTTTAGTGTGTATTCCCGCTTGTTTGGTGTGTATTACCGCTTGTTTGGTGTGTATTCCTGCTTGTTTAGTGTGTATTCCCGCTTGTTTGGTGTGTATTCCCGCTTGTTTGGTGTGTATTCCCGCTTGTTTGGTGTGTATTTCCGCTTGTTTAATGTGTATTCCCGCTTGTTTAGTGTGTATTTCCGCTTGTTTAGTGTGTATTCCCGCTTGTTTAGTGTGTATTCCCGCTTGATTCGTGTGTATTCCCGCTTGTTTGTCTTTCCATCATTCATCATTCTTGTTTTCCATGTTTGCTTTATTTCCTCTCATCCATCAGGGAAGTGTCACGCTAGTAACGCTTCCTTGTATCCCTCATGCAATGTGTGTACCGGCCAGTGTGAGTATTAGGAACAATCTCCTCTACCAGTCTTCACATTATTAGTAGACTTTATATCCAAATACGTACTGCACCCTGCCCTTCACCTAGCAGTTGAAAGCTTGCACGCCATGCAGACCATCGTCAGCAAACAGGGACTTTAGATTTAGATTAGGACTGCAACGTGTGACATCATTTTAAGGCAATGTGACGTCCTTTTAAGGCACTGCCGAGCACTGCCGGGCACTGCCAGTGCCTTAAAAGGATGTCACACGTGGCAGTCCACTATTTCGACGTGCAAATTTAAAAGTCCCTAATAACGCCTCGTGCGCACCGGATATTACTCTAAATCCGCACCCATCCGTCTCATATGAATGAGACGGTACTCGACACAACTATTTAATAATGTTCTTATCAAGAATACAAAATTATTTCTCCAAATTAGATTCCCCATTTAAAATCACCCAATTAAAAGTTACATGTACTGAACTATACAACACGTACTTTTACAGTCAGATGTTAACAATCTTGCATGGTTTATTAGCAAAATGATTAGCATTTGTAGAGGTGTCGGGGTCTAGTGGGTAATGTTTTGTTGGAAACATAAATAAATTTAATCGAATTGAATTGAAGTTTATGGAATGTTGAGCACACTTCACTAACGTCCTTTGGCAATACATTAATCTAAATTTACCACACTCGACACATGTAGTGTAGAGCAAGGGGGGTTGGAGGGAACTGAGTTCCTGGTAGGATTATTCCTTGTATTGCACTCTGCGCTGATAACTTGTCCAAAGTTCATTTGGAAGCACATAAAATCTTCGTCATAATACTCAATCGGAATATTAGTGTTATTATCATAAATCAGTTAGAGGGTGTTTGCATTTTTTTTCCATACAGCTGTCATGATTATCTCTTATACACACGAAACACGGAATCTAAGGTTTTCTTGAATTCTTTTGAAAGATATAGTCAATTTAATCTTAATTTTTCTTATATAAAGGGTTCGATTGGAGTACAAGTCCTTTTGTGCTGACCTTAGATTTCTCACTGGTTGGTATTTTGTAAAGAGGTCTGAGAGATCTCTCAGAGATATGTTGGAGCTATTACATGAAAACACTGATACACAAGTAACAAGATCTTAAAATCAATTCGTGATAGGATAGGCAACCAATGCAAGACCCGTAATATAGGTGAAATTGACTCATATCTGTTGGTCCTTGTCACGAGTCTTGCGGCCGAGTTTTGAATAACCTGAAGTTTCCGGATCTGATTGTCTGGTAAACAATACAGGAGACTAATACAGTAATCAAAATGACATATTACAAATACATGTACTAATATAATGAATGTTTTCATATCATCATATTACAGGTGCTGATAATGTAGCTGGACATTTTAATCCGTACAACATCGACACAACAGCAGACCCCGACTACCCAAATGGGACCAACGACCAGTATGAACTGGGTGACATCAGTGGCAAGTTCGGAAGCTTGGCAGGTCAGGACGACTTCAGTGGTACGTTTGAAGATTGGAACATGCCTCTGTTTGGAGCAAACAGCATTGTAGGACGATCAGTCATTATTCACCTCGCCAGCTCCGAACGGTGGGCTTACGGACTCATCGAATACCCGGCCCCGGTTAGAACAGTGACGTCGGTGTTCACCTATCCTCTGGTGGGCCAGATCACCTTCAGACAGGATGCAGAAGACCCTTACTCGGACACATCCGTTTTTGTGGACCTGGCTCATAGCGACGGTGAGGATACGACTGTTGAACACGACTGGCACATCCACGTTGCTAAACTTGGTGATGATCACCTGGACCAGACGGGACGCTGCTCAAGTACCCTTGGTCACTTCAATCCATTCGCTGTAAAACTCACTGAAGAGTATGCCACAGAGTGCGGTATCGACGTTACAAGACGGTGCGAGATTGGTGATTTCTCCAAGAAATACGGCAGGATCACAGTACCAGGGTCAGTGCGTACCCAGGTTGGGAAGTACTTCTTCACCGATGTACAGCTTCCACTGTCTGGTGTATATACTGTGGCCGATCGAGCTGTTGTTGTCCACGTAAAGGACGGTGCTCCAGAGAGGCTTGGCTGTGGTGATACTCTCGATGTCTTCCAGGCAACAGCAACAGCTGAAATGTGGATCGGTGTTTCTGACTCTGGTACGGGTACCGTCACGACTCCCGTCACGGGTTCCGTTACCTTGACCCAGGACTCAGAATTTGATGATGTGACCATTACCGCCGATCTAGACGGCCTCAACGGCGTTGTAGCACCTTGGCACATCCACGTTCTCCCAGTGCCTTACTCCGATGCAAGCCCTTGCAGCCCCACAAGCACCCAGGGACATTACAACCCATTTGGAATTATTGGTTCACCACCTGCAGGAACCTTCGATTACTACGAAAATGGTGACCTGAGTGGCAAATTTGGCTACTGGAATGACTTGCAGACGATCAGTACGACCTATTCCGACTCCAGTCTCTCCCTGTTCGGATCGAGGAGTGTTTCAGGAAGGTCTGTCATTGTCCATCGGTCGGATGATGGCTCAAGGTACAGATGCTCTTCTCTGATGCCTGTACTCGGAGATGGAGACTTTAGGATTGAGGCTGGTGTTGATATCAGTAATTCAGATTTCACAGGATATTTACTTCTCGTAAGTATGTTATGTAACATTGTCCATACATACCATCACCACCTTAACTACTATTCTGTAGACACCTACCACTGTTACCACAAATCCTTTGAATATCCTTAACTGTGAACCATCACCATCAATAATAGTGCCTACTAGACAGCTTCCCATCAGGACTAATTCAGTCAGGATATTGCCCCCTCCCCCTCCCCCTCCCCTCACTCTCCCCTCACTCTCTTCCCCTTAGAAAATCACTAATCGAGATAGCCAGGGAGTGGCTGTTCTGGCATCCAAGCGATAAGACAAATTCAGCATTAATAAAAACGTTAAAATTATCACAAAGACTTTAACAAAATAAACTCAACTCCAATTTCAATACAATATTGTATTGTTTATAGAAATCGCGTATGGATTATGTCATTTTGAAGTTTACTGATCACGCATCTCATTTCAAAATGAAATACACAAGGCTGTTGAAGTTACCATTTGCTTAATTTCTGGAAGGTCTTTACGATCGCTTTAGGTAGAAAATATTACCTTGCAAAAACACTCTCTGTTCCTACTACTTGTTTCCAACCATGCTATCAAAAATACACCTCATCTACTGCATTGCCAAATGCACTTTCCCCTATTTTGTTCGGCATGACAGCGGCACGTCTTAGCTCACAATCGCATTACACGAAAGAATTAACAATTACACAAGACTCATCCAGGAGTAAGGAAGTGCGTGCACCATGCTTCCAATGACTTTTGATCGGAACGATTATTCATGTTGCTTAAGAGTCTGTATTTGACACGTTCGCGGTGCTTCAATTTTCTATTTTTATACGTAATATTGGGTAAATAATGTAATGTAGGAATTTGGTGCTTCAGTTGGAAAGGGGGTATACCTAGGGTACAATGAGGAAATGGTCTGAATTGTTCTTCTCTGCCCGCATAACGCGTTGCTAACGGAATGGTTTCTAGGGAGAATCCTCTTTTTTTAAACTGCCGGTATCTGCACTTCTTTTAAACGCGTATGCTCAATATATTTGTCACACTTGTCGACACATTTTTCAATCTGATGACCTTTATTTTGTTTTTTATTCGATTATGAATTATAATGTACTCCCTCCCCTTCCGTCTTTCAAAATACTCTATCAACGGATACCATCGTATGCAATTTACTTTTTTGGGATGATGCGTCACCTTGTTGTGCAAAATGTAATAATTACTTTAAATCATATTTATGTTTTTTTTTTTCGTTCTTCTTTTCCACAGGGCCAGACACATTTCAGCAATGGGCGTCTAGGCGATACTACGATATTAGCCAACTTTTCACCAGTCGATGTTTTAATAAGTGTAAGTATGTTTTACATTTTTTTCGCAATAATGATTTAAATATACACCTGATCATATATCATGTCATTATATGTACATTAATAATCTTCTACAAACTGTATTTTGAATCTAAAATAAAGGCTTCTTAACTAACGAAATACCTTTTCTCATTATAACAAACAAAACGAAATAACTGAACACCCTTTTAAAATAAAACGATTATTATTTTCGCTTTCGAATGTCAGGCTACGCCTTGGAGATCAGGTGTTGGAAATTGTAATTGAATTCATTTCAAAAATTTATAAATTACAATATTTCGATGAGTTATGACTCGAACACAGTTATTGTACGCGTTCGACTTTGACTAAAATTCCCCCTATAATATAGCAATCTATCCAAAAACGGAGTGAACGGAGTTTTACCCTTGTTATCAAATTACATTTTAGACTAACAAAGAAATGCTCCTTTTTATTCGACATCTTAAGAAAAAGATTGTTTGCAAGAGGGAAATTGGTAACCGTAAAATAATAAGCCTTAGTCGTAGGGGAGCACGAGCGCCATAACTGTATTTAATAATACTGAACTAAGATCGACTTCAGTCGAAATCAAATTGCAAATCTCAGTTGATTTCTCCATGCTACAAATATATAGCTCATGACTTTCTGAATTCCCGCCGAATTTGTTTATATTCGTGTTTTGTGTCATAATAATAATGTGTAACAGGTTATTAAAACTAGTCATGCACAATTACATTTTGTGTATTTATATTTGTAATATCCAAGGACTGTGTTAAAAGATGGAAGGTATTTTTCTGGATCCGATTAAAGAAAAAATATTCACGAGCATATGACTGTTCCAGTCCTTGCACCCTGATTGACTTTCTTGGAAAATTATACAATGGTTGTGTGACCAAGTTCACTGTACTTTTTGGATTTCTTTAATATTTTTTGTTGAATCACAGGATGTTTACGACTGGACAATCAGGACCGATACAATCTCTTCGTCATCCTGCCCAAGTAGCAACAGTGTCTTCAACCCTAACACCGTAGCAACGGACGGGGTAAGAAACATTTACGGTGACTGTTCGAGAGGTGTGTGTGTGTGGGGGGGGGGGGGAGGGGGGGGGGTAACCGACTGGTCCCCCCCCCCCCATTTGAAACCCAATCCGACATATAGGCCTTCCCTGAATGTGCGCCCATGTTATAATGTTCTTGTGCCAGTCCCCGAAATATGTGGAGAGAAAAAAACTCCTGGCTTTTTAAGCATTTTTTAAAAATTGTGCCCCCTTTTTGATAGAATCCTAGACCCGTCCCTGCCTGTGTCCAACATAGATTAAGCAGTTCAGGAAAAGTACAGAAGAAAATAACGGAATACAATATAAAAACGTGTTTTGCCTGATCATGAATGGAAAACAGAGAATAGAATTTCGATTCCGCATTCCAAACACTTATTAAATTTTTCCTAATGCACTGCCCTTTCTTAAATGTCTCTCCAAATGAGCAGTGATGACCAAATGACCAAAACAACACTTATGACAGAAGCTGTAGAATAGCTGATATTACGATGCGCTAGCATTAACGGGATTTACTTCTGCCAGGTATGCTACACCTGTGTTGAGACTGGCAAATGTAGATTAATGTCTTCTGAAAGACGTTGGTGTCGGGCTGGTATTCGAACCGTCCACCTCGTGAAGGAAAGTCCAAATAATGAAGCCACATTACTGATTTTTATCTCGTTTTATTTTTAAAAGGTGAAATGTAAACTACCATAGTTGTTTACGACTTTGTTCTAATAACAGTAGCATATTCTGAATAAATATCAATTCCAAGAAATTAAAAATGATTCTGTTCTAAGTCGTTCCTACCTTTCCAAAACCAGTTGTCAGAAATCTTCTCTTTTCAAAGTTATATGAGACTAAAGTCTTCTTTAAGAGGAACGGAAGCAAAACCGGAGACCATTTCAATACACAACTGCCATTATTTAAGAATAGGAAGAAGTGGTATCGTCTGTAAATGATTGCAGACTATATTAATAACACCAAACACAGACTAGAGGCTTGCAAACAAACTTCCATATATTCACAATCCATTTGCTTTTCTGCTTTGCAAAAACCCCTCTACAATGCATTATAAACGCATTACCAGTCAGTAATAACTGCACGAAATTCCGCCTCGATTGTGCGGTTTTTGAAGAGAAAAAAAAACAAATGTCCGTGGGGGATATTTCTCGAGTAAATAGCCGGACTGGTACAGCGGCTATCATATTTTTGATCTAGAAGGGCGCTATTCTTGTAGCAATTTGTAAAGCAGGATTACAACATCAACGACAAACGGTCCAAACAAAAACCCTGTCGGTGGGAATTTTCATCAGGTATTGATCAAATAAGATTATCTTTTTCTCCTTCACCGAACGGGTATTCAAAGCAATGGCCGCCTGCGGTGACCCTTCTTGCCACACTATTTTTTCTCTCAGTTGGAAAGATGTTTATAATTTATATAGATTCGAATGGTAAATGTGAGCAAAAAATAAGTTGATTTGTTCACTAAAAACCCTTCAGTCGAACACATGTATTGAGTTACGCTGTGTACCTCTTAGCAAATTGTGCCGTGAATTGAATGGAATGGAGAAAACAGTTTGAGAAAAAAATACAGGAAAGAGCTCTGTCATTGAAAAGCAACTAAACATAAAAGGATTGCCATAGACGTGAATGAGGTTTGGTATGGGTGTAGTACGATAAGAGCTATATATGCATCATTAAAGTCGAAATGGAAAAACATTGACTTACCTAAATGGAAAATGTTGATAATCGACCACTTTATTCCATATACGTTATGATTTGATATTGAACATGGCCAATACCAAATATTATGAAACCATTGCGTGTGGAAAATCCAAAGCACTTAAATTATTAAGAGAGCGTTAATTTAAAATACGATAAGACTTGTTTGTATAATATACTCAAGCGTGTCCAATGATCATCTAGAAATATGTAGTAACTGTCCCTCAGATAGGACGTTAAATAAGAGTAACTTTTGTAGGGAGAACAGAACTTGTACATATAGTATCAGCTTCCACTGACTGTATTTTATTTGATCCGGTGAAGCACTATAAGAGCCCCCCCCCCCGACTCCAAGAACGGACGGACCCCATGCGTGTTACCAAAATGTCCGGTAAAGGGGTACCTCTTGTGCGACAAAGTCCGGCCCGAGAATTGTAAAAAAAGGGGTGTATAAACTTTTCACCCGGAGATTTCTTATAAAAAGGGGATCTTTTTTCTTTTTTTTGTCTCATCTCTTTGGACTCCTGAGAAATTATTCCGAATTTAGGGGGGTACATTGAGCTTTTTTATGATTTAGGGGGTCTCCAAGGCAGGAAAAGCCCGCGAAAAGCCCGCGAAAGGGGGGTTCGGAAATGTTGGCAGTCCTCAGATAGGGGGTGCTTTCAAAAAGAGGGAACAAGCATATGCGTACCCTAAATGGGGCGGGTATAAGAGTAACTTCTGTAGGAGGCGCGATAGCTCAGTCGGTAGAGCAGTGGTCTCGTTATGCGGTGACCCGGGTTCGAAACCAAGTCGATACGCTAGTGCCCTTTGGTAAGGCATTAATCCTCATTACCAGGTTCCTCGGAGAGGACCTTAGGCCGTCGGTCTTCTGGTCGATTACTAACAAGCATTTATTGCTTTCTTAGGTGTCAGGTAAAATAACCACCACTATCACTATGTTGGTAAAGGCTCTTGACTCTTAAGCAAGTGGTCCCGGTTTCGATCCTCGCTCAGCGCGTGTTCATCCTTTGTTAAGGTGTTTTGCCCGGACACCTACTCCCTGGACATCCATCCCTCGGATAACCACCCTCTAGGACGAATACCCTCTAGGACGACTACCCCGGGACAACTAACCCCCAGACAACTACCCTCTACGACAACCATCCTCTAGAACACCTACCCCCGGACAACTATCCTAGGGGTAGTTGTCCGGGTGGTAGTTGTCCGGGGGTAGTAGTCCGGGGGTAGTTGTCCTAGGGTGTAGTTGTCCTAGGGTCAACCGCTATAAGACCAACCTTAAACCTAACCCTAACCCTAAACCAAACCATAAACGAATCCCTAAAACCCAATCTCAAATTGTATGCAAACCCATTATCCAGTGTGTCTCTTTAGTATGTTTAGTTATATTTGTGTGAAACTTGGTTGCAACTCCTGGGAATAGACTGGTGTACTAGCATATTCAAATTTATGGATGTTTCTTTCCTGGCAACCTAGCGACGAACCCAGACTTACTTGAACCCATTCTGCATGCATTACTTGTTGCTCTGTCGGACAAGCCTCGGGAAAGCTTTCAGGTTCTCAAGTACACCAAAAAGTATGCATAAAATCTGAACATGACTAAACCGGTCTATTGTACAAAACCTTCAAGAAACATCAGATTTGAAGAAGGTAGTTGTACCCTAAAAGTAGTCATTATACTGTTTGACTCGGCCTTGTAAAAGCGAGAACAATATTTAATAGAAACCGTACTCCACGGCATACAGAGGTGGGATATGCGGTTCTGCATAATGAGAACATCGCTAAAATATGAGATAAACATGTGTTTATGTAAAAAGATTTTTGCATTCTGTTTCTGGTTCTGTTTCTGTTTCGGTTGCGTCGGTATACTCAGGGTTAACTGTACTTCACCAACGTTTTGATTTGTATGGTCGTGGTTGTGCTATGGAAGGAGAGGTATTTCACATTCTTATTTAGATAGACTCACTTTGTGTAAACTCGTTGGTCCGAGTTTCCGTGTCATAGAACAAGAACAGTTTTAAAACATAATATGGTATCATGCATGCATAGTGTATTTTGAACTCAAAAGAGACAGGAAGTAGAATTATTAATTTTCAAGGGTATGATTTTGCTACATGAATATTTAATTCAATTCAATTCAAAACGAAACAACATTATACTTCTTTCATATTTAGTACATATACATATAACGTTAACGAAAAATATTAATGGATGTATAGCTATTGGAGGAGTCAAGGCCACTGAAAAGTGAGAATGCATGAATTATATCCAAACCACAAATTATTCGTGAAATCCCCAAGAACACTAATGGAAAGAAACAGAGACGTTTACAATTACATGGTTGATTAAGGCTTACTCTGGTATAGTGAATGTATTGTAGGTTGTTATAAGTGGATGTTTTGACACTGAAAACAGGGAAAACCTTGAGGTATTTTTTTACAATTATTCGTGACATGCTATAGATGCCACGGTCACGGCTCGTATCTGCTTAGAAGGGATTCACCGATTGCTGCAATACAGCTTTCCGCTTCTACTCGACAGTCTTTCCTCGGCCTTTGACTTGACTGTGGAATCAAACACAAACTCGACGAAAGGACCACCGCTATTATGACATGCCCCTAGAGTCTACTTAGCGTTGTTTGTTATGTCAATAGTTTGTGTTTTGAAATGAGAGCTGGTAGAATCCTGTCGTATAACACCAGTCCTCTCCCCCTCTGCCCCAACCTTTTTGATGGTTATTGTTTTGTTTTGTCTTCTTGTGCACTATAAATGGTGAGAAACCCATTCGGTTTCCAAACTATCCCAACGCCTGTTTTAGAACCATGCGTGGAAGAGATTGTTAAAGGGTAAAGCAACAAATGGAGAACGTCCTGCAGATGGAACTCCCAGTTTGACATTGAAGAAATAATGAGGACTAGGAAATATTTTGGTGGAAGCAGAGCTTTCTGCCTATTTAGTTATTCTCAAAGGCGTTTCCTGTTTAAAAGTCACTTATTCAAATATTATGATTCGGCTAGAATTGTAAAGGCAAATTATTAACGCTTCAGAGTTCAAAGTCTATGCATGGAGTTGTTAAACATTGCGATGTATGCATTGGCATGATTGTTGTTTTAGCAGTCTAATCACGCTATACCAGGCACGTACACACGGGGGGGGGGGGGTTTGGGGGGTTAAACCCCCTCCTTTGGTATTTTTCTGTGTGTAAACCCCCCCCCCTCAACCCCCCCCCCCGCTTATTCAGCGGCTGGCTCAGTCGTTGCGAAATTTTCGGCCCGATTTATAAATGTTAAACCCCCCCCCCCCTTGAAAAAATCCTGCGTACGCGCCTGCGCTATACCCATACCACATCGGGTATTAATGTATACACCTTTTGAAGACCTAACGTATATTTAAATTCACGTAGGATTTAATGATTGGGTCTCGTAGAAGGCCTGTAGAATAAACGAAATATGTATTAATTTTAAGCACCTTTTACTGCTGAATTTAGCAGATTCTGGATACGTCAGATAAACGACGAATCGACATTAATTGGGATTGTACAAATATTCCAAATGAGTTAATTTTTTAAAGAAAATCTTTCAAAACTACAGATTGACATGAGAGGAATTTTCAAAATTGATGAACAGTCCTCATTTTAGTTCAATTTGTCAGTAACAGTAGAAAAATGGACCTCACAGTTAAAATTGTACAACAATGTATTTGTGAGGGTGGGTCCGTGGGGTCGGGGCCGTAGGTGTAACATCACTAGCTCTCTTCATAGATGATACTTTTCACATTCATGACATGTCTATCATAATTATAGGAAGTTCTTTCGGTGGTTGCAGTTATAAACATTTCCGACCAACCCCTGCTGAAGGAAATGGTTCATGGAATAATAGTAGTGGTAGTTATAAACCTTTCAGATGATAATGACTCCTTATCCTCATGGGAAAAAGAACATCATGTTCATTATCACAAATAAATACTTGCTTTAACGATTATTTTATCAACTGGACTGACGTACTCAGCATATTATGTTTGAGGCGGCGTACGCCCCCACCCTTAACAAAAAGGCATGTTGTTGTTGTCGTGGTGATCCAGGGACACCCCAACCCGCCCTCCCCGGACCCGGGGGGGGGGGGGGCTTGGCGCCCCTTATTTCTGGATACACCGCTATTATGAACGTTTTACCATGGACCTCTTTATCCACGATTTAATTCACGTTGTTTCATATTTTACGTGCATGAGTGTTAATTGAATTACGAAATCGAAACAAGACAATAAGCAAATATGCAATTCTTCCCTATGCAGTAATATGTATATATACATATCTTGATCTACTTATTTGTTTAAGGTCAAAGTGTACGCGACTATAATGGTGAATATGACTTAAAAATCGTTGATAATGAGTGGGAAAATAACTCGATAATGTAAGCAAAGGTAGACATGCGTAAGATCATTTAACAGATTACCCTTCTACTGAGTTAATTAGTGTTTGCAAAGCGCAACAGATTATGAATATCGTGCTCATAATTATTAATCGCCCTTTTTATTGACATGGACTTTATCCATCCCCAGGGAAGGAAATTAATAAGCTTTATTTGTTTTACTACTTGACTATTCCTGACAGGATTACCCAACTCAGTGTAGTATTGCGTCACAGCTTCGTTGTCAGGTCGGGGATTTGACTGGAAAAAATGGCAACTACAGCTCCTATCACAAGAGGGCGCTCTTAACAGATTCCAATCTGCCACTTTCAGGAACATCTGGAGGTATGCTATAAACCAATAAGATAGTGTATCTATCAACTCCTTTACCAATATATCCCCCTCCTTTTCCTTCCCCTCCTTTTCCTTCCCCCTCCTTTTCCTTCCCCTCCTTTTCCTTCCCCTCCTTTTCCTTCCCCCTCCTTTTCCTTCCCCTCCTTTTCCTTCCCCCTCCTTTTCCTTCCCCTCCTTTTCCTTCCCCCTCCTTTTCCTTCCCCCTCCTTTTCCTTCCCCTCCTTTTCCTTCCCCCTCCTTTTCCTTCCCCTCCTTTTCCTTCCCCCTCCTTTTCCTTCCCCTCCTTTTCCTTCCCCTCCTTTTCCTTCCCCCTCCTTTTCCTTCCCCTCCTTTTCCTTCCCCCTCCTTTTCCTTCCCCTCCTTTTCCTTCCCCCTCCTTTTCCTTCCCCTCCTTTTCCTTCCCCCTCCTTTTCCTTCCCCTCCTTTTCCTTCCCCCTCCTTTTCCTTCCCCCTCCTTTTCCTTCCCCCTCCTTTTCCTTCCCCTCCTTTTCCTTCCCCCTCCTTTTCCTTCCCCTCCTTTTCCTTCCCCTCCTTTTCCTTCCCCTCCTTTTCCTTCCCCCTCCTTTTCCTTCCCCCTCCTTTTCCTTCCCCTCCTTTTCCTTCCCCCTCCTTTTCCTTCCCCCTCCTTTTCCTTCCCCTCCTTTTCCTTCCCCCTCCTTTTCCTTCCCCCTCCTTTTCCTTCCCCCTCCTTTTCCTTCCCCCTTCTTTTCCTTCCCCTCCTTTTCCTTCCCCTCCTTTTCCTTCCCTCTCCTTTCCTTCCCCTCCTTTTTCTTCCCCTCCTTTTCCTTCCCCATCCTTTTCCTTCCCCTCCTTTTCCTTCCCCTCCTTTTCCTTCCCCTCCTTTTCCTTCCCCCTCCTTTTCCTTCCCCCTCCTTTTCCTTCCCCTCCTTTTCCTTCCCCTCCTTTTCCTTCCCCTCCTTTTCCTTCCCCCTCCTTTTCCTTCCCCCTCCTTTTCCTTCCCCTCCTTTTCCTTCCCCCTCCTTTTCCTTCCCCTCCTTTTCCTTCCCCTCCTTTTCCTTCCCCCTCCTTTTCCTTCCCCTCCTTTTCCTTCCCCCTCCTTTTTCTTCCCCCTCCTTTTCCTTCCCCCTCCTTTTCCTTCCCCTCCTTTTCCTTCCCCTCCTTTTCCTTCCCCCTCCTTTTCCTTCCCCCTCCTTTTCCTTCCCCTCCTTTTCCTTCCCCCTCCTTTTCCTTCCCCTCCTTTTCCTTCCCCTCCTTTTCCTTCCCCCTCCTTTTCCTTCCTCCTCCTTTTCCTTCCCCCTCCTTTTCCTTCCTCCTCCTTTTCCTTCCCCCTCCTTTTCCTTCCCCCTCCTTTCCTTCCCTCCTTTTCCTTCCCCTCCTTTTCCTTCCCCTCCTTTTCCTTCCCCTCCTTTTCCTTCCCCCTCCTTTTCCTTCCCCCTCCCCATCCACATCCCGTTCCCCTTTTCCTTCCCTCTCCCGCTCCCCTTTTCGTTCTCGTTCCCGTTCCGTTCCCTTCCCTTCCCTTCTCCCTCTTCCCCTCCCCCTTCCCCCTCTCCCTCCTCCCCTTCCCCCTCTCCCTCCTCCCCTTCCCCCTCTTCCTCTTCCCATCCCATCTTCTCTTAACGCTCATACCCCCTTTCTCTTCCCTCTTCCATTAAATGATTTCAATTTTTCATAAATAAATAGGCCACTAGTTTGTTTCTGCCAAGTCACCACTGGGCATCAATCAAAACATGCAGTAAGTGGTGATACCAAAGAAATAAAAATCACCCCATCTATTGTTAATTATGAAAAATAAATGGTTGAGTGGCAAACGAAATGGATACAACTTGGTTTAACCATTATCCTATATACTTTTCTTTTCTTCTCCACAGTAATTGGTTTGCCACTCTATCTGGAGTCCAGTGATGGTAACATTGGATGTGCAACAATCCAACCCCTCCCGAGTACAGGCTTAGAAACGTCAATCACCTTCCCTCAGATGATAGACTTTGATGTGTAAGTTGATTCAATGGGTAGAAGGTTACATAACCATGCATAAACATGCGATGAATCAAGGGCAAGACCAAGGGTAGGGGCTTTGTTGTGGTGTTAGATACCTTTGCATTGGTTTACCACCGTATGTCTGATGGTAAGAGACCACCCCTCCCCCCCCCCCCAAAAAAAAAAAAAAAAAAAAAAATCATCAGTAGATGAAAATGCTCTACCAAAGACTATGTTGCTTGGGTTTTTATAGAGATAATGTACATTACTTTGCAGTTTGTCTGAAACATTACCTTTATAAGCTTAGAATAGATTACTAGGAATTGACATGTCTGGTGTTGGACAAAAAAAAAAACATGAGGAAAGTATGTAGGGACCAAATAGAAGTTAATGATGTCATTTGGGACAAAGAGAATTGAGATGGGGCTGGGAAAAGGGCATTCATGGTTAGAAAGTGACAGAAATACGATTATCATAAGTTTTTGTTGTTGCTTGATTTCTTATTTCCAGATACTCCTTCAAGCTTTCGATGGCTAACGTTCTAACTGACGTAGAACCATGGCAGATTATTGCCCCACACTACCCTGTGAACAGTGAAACTCTTGAACGCTGTATGGATCTGCAGCTATGGATTATTGGTAGGTTTATAATGTTTGTTTGTTTTACTGACGACCCAAATTTATGTATCATTCATAGTCCTTGCATAACTCATTTTTGCATGCCTGTCAGCAAGTTTTTTAGTTTGATGGTGAAGATGATGATGATGATGAGTTGATGACGACGACGATGTTGATGTTGATGTTGATGATGATGATGATGATGATGATGATGAAGATGTTGATGACGATGATGATGATGATGGTGATAATGAAGATGATGATGATGATGATGATGATGATGATGATATTGATGATGATGATGATGATGATGATGATGATGATATTGATGATGATGATATTGATGATGATGATATTGATGATGATGATGATGATGATGATATTGATGATGATGATGATGATGATGATGATGATGATGATATTGATGATGATGATATTGATGATGATGATGATGATGATGATGATGTTGATGTTGATGTTGATGATGTTGATGTTGATGATGATGATGATGATGATGAAGATGTTGATGACGATGATGATGATATTGATGATGATGATATTGATGATGATGATATTGATGATGATGATGATGATGATGATATTGATGATGATGATGATGATGATGATGATGATATTGATGATGATGATATTGATGATGATGATGATGATGATGATGATGTTGATGTTGATGTTGATGATGTTGATGTTGATGATGATGATGATGATGATGAAGATGTTGATGACGATGATGATGATGATGGTGATAATGAAGATGATGATGATGATGATGATGATGATGATGATATTGATGATGATGATGATGATGATGATGATGATGATGAAGATGATGATGAAGATGATGATGAAGATGATGATGATGATAGTTATGTTGATGATGATGACGATGATGATGATGATGATTATGACGACGACGACGACGACGAGGATGATGATGATGATGATGAAGATTATGAGGAGCAGGAGGAGGGTGATGATGATCATATAAAATATTGATGTTTCCCAATATTTAGATGACAATTATTTATGAAGACATTCACAGGCATATTTTTTTTTTCACGGAAAGTTCTAATTAAAAATGCTGGGTTGACTTTCAAAAATACAAGAGTTGGTTTGACTTGTACCTTGGTCATCGAAATAAAATCAAGCTTTTTGAAAATCGTTCTCAAAGCCAAATCATAAATGTATATTTTAAGTTATTTGTATCAATATGTATTTTCTATGTTTGTGATGACAGGTGAGAATGCTGAAGCAGCCTCAGCTGAACTCATACTGAAATCAGCTAACGATGAGCTCGGAATCTACTCCACGACAGATAGATGTAGAGGAGATGGTAAGAACATTATTATTACTTAAATAAACCACTGACATCTTTTCATTTAACTCCAATAATTATAAGCTTAATGTAATTAGTCTTTTGTTGCATGCCTGAGGTAGTTGCGTTTTTCTGTAACCATTGAGGAAATGAAACGTCTAACCCAACATCGTAAAAAAAAACAATAATTTAATTATGATAATGATGATGATGATGATGAAGATGATGATAATAATATTTGTCATAGAAATTTGTAATAAACTATATGCCCATGCACAGATTGTATCTACAAATTTCTCTAGCTCTGTGTCTGTTATTCAAGTAAACAAATGCAATGTTATAAATTGATATGGCAAAGAATCGGTACAAAATATGTGTAAAAATCAGTACATTAACTCGTAATATTTTGTTAACTTAAACTTGTTAAACGATCTGTTATAAAGTAATTAACACAAAAGGGTGAAATTGTAAAGAAACGAATAACACATTTGTTTGTTGTTGTTTATCATTCAGGTACTGGTGCTGCTGATCAAAGTTTGCCCCTCTCAGCCCTCACGGTCGTGTTCATCGCTGTCATCACATCTCTATGGCAACACGTTATGACGTCATAACTCCAAAACCTCATTAAAATTTAGGATATTTTCCACCTTATGTTTTTCTTTTAAATTTCGTAAGAAGGAGGTAGAGGTACTTAATTTTCAGATGCCACAACATACTGATAATCATTGATAGCTGTAAACAATATGATTGTGTAATTGTACAGGGAAATTATATTAAGAAACATTTATACTTCATCACTGCAATGTTTATTGTAATGCATGATTTTTCATTTCATTCATGACAAGAAACATGTAATGTGGTTGAAAAAAAAAGAACCTTGAGTTCTTTCAAGTAGTATAAACAAAGTTTATTTGGTGTAATTGTCCTTTCAAGTCTATTTTCTCCTTAAAATTTGAATTTGACTTACTTTATATTTTTCTTCTTTCCAATGGGACTCTGTTTCGTAAACTATTGGAACAATATAAGTAAAAGCTTATAATGAATTATATATTTTTGTTGCTTTACAATACACTTGATATCATAGAATATATATAACTGTACTAACTTCTTATTCATAGATATCTGGTAGGCACTCTCTGTGAAATAAAATGAACCAGGGAATGAACTGGTTCCTAGAGATTGTTGTTATCATCGTTTCTAGGTTTACAGCATGATCAAAAGTGGAAGTTGTCTGTGTTCTTTTGCTTTGTTCCATGAAGTGGGTTCCTATAAGGCTTTAGGATACGGAGAACAATGTTCATTTTTTGTTTGTTTTCTGGTAGTTTAAGCATGTGTCCAGACGAAGATTTAATGTAATTTTTAATTATGCATGATGTGAATATTTGCTGTCCATACTCTGTGCATTTCTCGGTGTGATAAAAAACGTACGCCACTTGAAATGTGACATCACATGGACAACCGGACGCTTGTCTCGGTACGCTGTACGCTGTCAATTAGTTGTTAGATGTCACGGTCAATTCCTTAGCTTTGAAGAGATTATGCACAGAGTATGGACTGCATATTTCGATCAGAATAAAAAACAAAAAAAGAACAAAAATAGTACGCAGTGCAGATTTGCAAAATTAGTTGAGTGCATTTCATATACAAAGTTGATTTATACTGCACAGTCTAAATATCTAATTAAAATTATATAAAAATGTTATTAAGCATGAAAGAAAAAGGAATTATGAAAAAGTGAAGGATTTTGCTTGGGGAGAATGTATTAGCCTATACCTTTCAAATTTATTTGATAGTATTCATTTGTTTTGTACTATATTTACATTTCTACAGAGATTTTATGATGCTGTTTCATTTTGAAGATACTATGTATACACAAGCAATTACTTTATAGTGATGTACGCACGTTTGTGGCTGTGTGCGTAATATGGTGTGGGTGCGTGCGTGTGTGCGTGCTTGCGTGAGTGTGTGTGATCATGTTATCATGTGTTTATAATTTTAACTGGGTTATATAAACTATCATAATTCTGTCATCTAAATGACATTTTTTCGGTTTCTCTGATTTATTGATAAATCATACAATTAGTTGCTTTTTCCTTCTTTTGATAAATTAAGTAACCATTGAAGTTGGACTGCATTTCAAAAAGACTGAGCATTACTTTTGCAGACAATACACAATGTTATCGTTGGAAAGGGCAATGTTCGGGTGCTAAAGTCTAAACGTGTCCTTGTCTATCATGTACACAGCAAAGCAGTATCGTCATTTCATTTAAAAGAAAGAGATATGAAGAAGTCAATATTGATACGGATAACAATTTAATATGGATGATGTTGTATGTTCTGTTTTCTATGGTGAAAAACAAAATTTATAATAATCAAATGTGCAGTGTTTTGTCTCAACAATTCCACTTCCAAGACTCAATTTTGAACGTCCATCATAAACGACATATTTATCATATTATATATTGATTGTCATTTTCTATTTGATACAACATGTAGTGCTACAACCGTAACTCTTTCCACAAAACAAAACAAATTTGTCAATAATGAATGTTTGAAGTGGATTGGAATTGACGTGCGGAGAAAAAAGAAGGTTTACAAAAATGTCTACTTGTGGCACTGTGTAGGCAAACTATTGTCATGAAGTTATTGTGAATGATACCCAAAATAATTGTACTTGTCAAATATAAATGATTGTGAGCCTACATGCATGACACTGCGACACAACTTTGTTTATTGTATAGTCTGTTAATCACGTCGTTTCTTCGACATTTATTTCATTTATTTCGTTTCAACATGAATAACAATGAAAATTTAGAACTAGAACACGAAAAGACATGAATCGAAATGTATAACAATTTACTTGTATAGTTTTTTTTTTACCTTAAACCACGCAGAATAATATGTTCACTATGAGGGTAAAGGGGAAAGCACATTAAAATAAAACTTTTTGATAATTATCTTGATTAAATATGTGTGAAACTGTCTTAATTATTACTTGTGGATCGACCGAGGGTACTTATCTATCAATCATAACAAATGCTTTTCTAATAATCGCTTTTGATATGACGGAAAATCGTTATGCAGGACCAAGGGCGAACTGTACATGGCAAGTTTGGGAAGTTTTCCCCACTGACCGCTCGATATTTTGGCTTAAGAGCCGGTCGATATGTGGTCTGAAAGCCGGTGGTATCGAAACGCCCTAACAGAATTCCAGTTCCAGTCCGCCCCTGGACGATGAAGTGACGGAAAGAAAGAGAGAGAGAGAGAGAGAGAGATGACAAAAGCATAGCGAATGTGGCGTAATGGACATTTTTTGGGGGGAGGGGGTCAAAATTATCTTCACAACAACACGACAGGTAATTTTATAGATTTAAAAGAAGAAACCAAAAACACCTTTTCAAAATTTGACAATTTGACATGAAAGAAAAGTGTTTTCTGAGAGTCCAAACGGGATTGTACATTATTAACTTCATCCTTCTTCCTCTCAGAATATGAAATGTCTTTCGACACTCTGAAAAATGAACTCCCTTTAATTGCTTCTTCCCATGTCGCATGTTGCTCTATACCTTCTAGTTTCATTACATCGTTTATAAATAGCATACGAATCTAAATGACATTCATATACATCAAATCATCATTTCGTAGCTGGATGATAATCATTAATTAAAGGCTATGCAAACAGTGATTACAATATACAGCTCGCAATCATTACTGTCATCAAATTATTGAATACAAAATAGATAATGCATAAAGAACACTGGCAGCAATTGGCTTATGCTTTTTGGTTAAGCTGTATTAAGCGTTCAATTGCACATTAATCTTATCAGTATACATGTATTTTAATGAAAGAATGAATGAGGGTAAAAATTAAAAACTTGGGAGGGGAAAATAAAAAAATGAACACGATTGTCAATCTTTACAACTCAAGTAGTTTTGAATAAAATGTATCGCTATCTTTCTCTGTAAAAGCAGTAAAAATGGTAACATTAACTAGTCAAATTTCTCTCTAGTAACACAATAAATGATAATCCTTAGCATTTACTTGTATTATAAAATAAATCGTACAAGGTGTACTGCCTTTCAATGATGTAAACGCTAAAGTAGTGTAACATTACAACCTCTAAGTAAGGTTGGTCCATTTCTAAAACTAGGTGTTGACATATTCTATTACATATACCAACTTTACGAGAGGTATAGGTAATATTTCGAAATAGATTTAATTACAACGAAAGAAGCCTGATCAAAGTGCAGTTGTAGAAAAGACGATCCTTTCAAAGAGTGTACTTTTGGGGCGTCTTAATTCTGATAAAGATTCGAAAATCGACTTGTATTACATTTTTATTCGATGCACTGTAATCATGCTAATTATTTAACACGAGATACAGAATTAGAGTCTAGACACTTCCATGTCGGATTATAATGGATACAGCTCGAAAGACGTGAATGCGGAGCGGAAATGAATTTGAAATAGGAAGCGTTTGATGAAGCTCAAATTATCATTACTCATCGGGTAATTAGAAGACACCGAGGAAAGACAAATGATAATATAATGAGATTAGGCCAAACATTAATGCGGGGTACCATACAGGTTATTGGAAATAGAACATTTTCGTAATGTACATGTAATAACATTTAATGCACAAATCTGTGCCATGTTACAAATTATTTCATTCATCATTATGTTACAAATTATTGTATTTCAATAGTCAGAATGCGAATCACAAACATTAATTGTTGCTAGGTAGGGTAAGCACTATGGCTTGTTCTACCTAACGCAATTCGCATTCTGACTAATGAAAGATAATTATTTGTAACAGGTGAATAAAACAATTTGTAATAAAATCATGTGCATTTAATTTGTATAGCATTACGAAATGACCTGTTACCACAACTCTCACTGTATAGATCTCCAATGACTGTTGCGCAAGAGGCGTTCTTTACGTGACGTAGGACTGCGTCAGTATAACAGGTGCGGTTTTTACGCACCATGTACATGTGACATCAATACCGTCGCAAAAACTTTAGAGAAATCGACCCAAGGTCAATTTCAATGCACTCTTGTAAATTCCATGGAAATCGTGTTGGAATTACGTAACAAGTCCTTGTAAAATACGTGCATTTCAAAAGATGACAGACAGACGGACGAGGCAATTGGAATTGGCTTATGTTGATTTTTCGAAATAGTAGTCATCGGACAAAAAATGGATGTTAAATGAGTCACTGGCGCATGGACTTGACTGTCGCAAGTATAACGCAATCGAAGCCACGTTTTAAGTGCAAATGGGATTACTATAAAAATTACCCAAGACGGGTAACCTAAGAATCGTAAAAATGGCAGACGGGCCCGACTAAATTTGTCGTCTAGCTTACCGACAAGTACTTTGTCTGATGGCATTTCCTCTTTTGCTTATTGGCCAATCTGCTGTTAATAGTTACTTATACAAGAGCAGACGTGACAGATGCTTATCGAAAGTGGATCATTTGATGTATAAGCACATTAATTAGAAACATTTCAAATCTTTTCATTAGTTTGTTGTATAAAAATAACTTCAATTATGACTATATACATCATTGAACATAAACAAAATCCAGCTGTCTTTACAAATGAGTTGATGAAGAGAAATATTATAGTGTTAGACTGCATTCCATACAATTATAAACTATAGCACAATCGTATCGATGTTATCTTAAAAGGAGATTTTTATTAATTTGTTGAGTAAAACAATCTACTAATGACTTTAGTTCTTCTAATTTCTACAAATAGATACATCATCTGGTAAATATTAAAACAATAAGCATGGTAATTATGCCTACACTCATGTACAAATGTAGAGCTTGTATATAACTTATACTCGGCACGTTAATACAGTTTTAGTGTTAGTTCATTTTATTTCACTTTAAAAACAATACATAAACAAAACATAGCATACTAAAAAAAATGATATTCATGAACAATAAAGACACCTACGCAGCCTAAGTTTGTATTGCATTTACACTAGATAATTTCGAAAAAATGTGAAAAAAAGGAACTTAATAAAAATCATAAGTTGTAGAGTTTAAGTTCCTCAAAATCATTTGACACAGTGACATTTATAATCAGGTAGAAGTATAATAATCAAAAAGAAAAAGAAAAGAAAATACCATAGTCACACCGCCAATCAGACTCTATACCGACTGACTTTTTGCCATTGGATGCAATATCATTGTTTGATCGGTCTAGAGTTGGTCTGGCGTCGGTCTCGTTGGTGAGACTGGGATATTATTCATAATCACATTCTGATAATCTCATTCTAATGCATACCACTATCTTATACTTTACGAAAGAATAGAGAAAATAAAGCAAAAACTAAAATTGTAACTAATCATACTATACTGAACATCTTAAATAGTGACCGCACCAATTCACGGGGTATGGCTATTTTGAGGGTGACACTAAATACTCGAATCCTAGTTTGTGTTTCAGGGCGTCGACTTTTGGTGTTTCCGCGAATATTCTCCGTGGAAATTTCGAAGATCGAAGAAGTGCTGTTAGACGTCATCATCGACTGCGATGATGACAGGTGCAATATGAAGCAGAAATTACAGTCAACGTGTACACAAGGCCACCCAAGGGAAACAGTAGACATGTGGCCTTTCTAAACAGATCATACAACACTCATTTCTTTCTCATTCTCAAAGGAGACAAAATGCATTACTAATATAGACAGGTGGCCTTATAAAGAGGTTGATAATAAGGCAGGTTTCACTATATTTGAAATTTTACAATGCGACTTTGAACAGTTGAAGCGTTGAAGCGAGAGTCTTTTTGCTTTGAATGATTGAATTTCAGGTTTTCAAAGGGATTCCTTGCTAATTAAAGCGTCCATTTTGTCCGTAAGTTTGAAAGTTGACTCCGGTGCGAAGTAATGATTGCCGGAAAGCTTTATTGCTAAGATTGATGCACTTTCAGGTCTTCACAATGCACTATGAATTATTAATTGCAAGGCATATTGCGACTTTTACATATTGAAGACAACATTGGAAAGAAACCTTGATTTTTTAAATGGTGGATTCTTAGGTTTTCAAAGTAGTTCCTCCCTGATAAAAGTGCCAGCTTTATCAGTAACCTTTGAAACATGACAAGGGTGCGATGCAGTATATGTATTGACTGAAAGACACACTGTAACTTTAAGATGCCCAAATACACACATGAGCAGTGCAATTAATGGTCTCCGGCTTTAAAAAAATCATGGGTTGTTGATCTCCAAAGTAGTTTTAAGTAGAGTCAATCTTGATGATATGTGGTATTGGTTTGACCTTGGAAGATCAGAAGAGGTTCGGTTGTATCTCCTTGAAGATTGCTGGACACATCAGAACATGGTCATGTTTTAGAGCTCGATGAAGCTACATGTAGTGCCATTTCCTGTTTGTCTTGTCAGTATAAGGGCTGTAAAGATAAAACAAATTAGGAGGGTCAGATAGAGGGAAGACAGAGGGGAGCGGGGGAGTGACATGCAAAAGAGAGGAAGGCGATTTAAACAAATAATAATAATATTGACAATGGTAGCAAAGGGATTGATAGATGGGAAGATACATAATTGAAATTTATATGAAGAGAGAGAGAGAGATTAACAAAACAAAAAAGAGGTAAAAGAAAAGAAGGGAGCGAGAAATTTCAGATTGAAAAAGAGAGATAATAAAAACAGATCGATAGAGAAAGAATTGACAAAAAAAAAATATTGAGAGAAAGAGAGAGAAAGAGAGAGAAAGAAAAAAAAGAGAGGGGTGTAAATAAGAGGGCAATGGGAGCGATTACAGAGATAGAGAGAGAGAGAGGGGGGGGGGACAGAGGGGAACAGTATAGGATATAGAGGATATTAAAGAGGGAGAGGGGGGGGGACAGAGGGGGGACAGAGGGGAACAGTATAGGATATAGAGGATATTAAAGAGGGAGAGGGGGGGACAGAGGGGGGACAGAGGGGGAACAGTAGGATATAGAGGATATTAAAGAGGGAGAGGGGGGGGGGGACAGAGGGGGGACAGAGGGGAACAGTATAGGATATAGAGGATATTAAAGAGGGAGAGGGGGGGACAGAGGGGGGACAGAGGGGGAACAGTAGGATATAGAGGATATTAAAGAGGGAGAGGGGGGGGGACAGAGGGGGGACAGAGGGGGAACAGTAGGATATAGAGGATATTAAAGAGGGAGAGGGGGGGGGGACAGAGGGGGACAGAGGGGGAACAGTAGGATATAGAGGATATTAAAGAGGGAGAGGGGGGGGGACAGAGGGGGGACAGAGGGGGAACAGTAGGATATAGAGGGTATTAAAGAGGGAGAGGGGGGGACAGAGGGGGGACAGAGGGGGAACAGTAGGATATAGAGGATATTAAAGAGGGAGAGGGGGGGACAGAGGGGGGACAGAGGGGGAACAGTAGGATATAGAGGATATTAAAGAGGGAGAGGGGGGGGGGGGACAGAGGGGGGACAGAGGGGGAACAGTAGGATATAGAGGATATTAAAGAGGGAGTGAGTGTGGCGATAAAATAGACACACGGGGAATAGGGGCAAGGGCAAATGGGGGAAATGGGACGAAAAAGTGGATCGAGATTGAACAGGACAACGAGACATGACACGTGCAAGGGAGAGAGAGAGAGAGAGAGAGAGAGAGAGGGAGACAGAGAGGGAGAGAGATAGAGTGACAGAGACAGAGAGAGAGTGAGAGTGAGTCAAACAGAAGGAAGCTATATTAATCACAGAGGAGTCACTTCAGGGGCACTATATTGTCGATGGAGGACATAGTACTTACTCATGAGGTGCCTTATGAACACGAATTGTTTCGGCCTACATAGCTAGGGAAATATACAGTGTGTGTACCTTTATTAACAGTATTGCGACCTTAACTGTATTAATATTAATATCATATCGATATCATATCAAAAATATATATTCATCAGAGCTTATCGGTTGTATGACATTCTCTGGCGATAACTGATCTTCGGTCAATATTAGCATGATAACCATATTTTTTTTATCTCTCAACCAATCATTTTACCTAACCCTAACTCTCACTCTGACCCTATACTTCACTTCAAACCAATTGCAATCACTATCCTAAAAATATGTCTATCTCAAAATAAAGCCCAGAGCACAAACAAAGCAAACTGACGGATCACTCGCGATTCGCTAAGATATACTCTATCCAAAATCCAATTATCGGGTTTAAGGAAAATCTCTTAGATCAATTTAGGCGTTGTTTTACCAAAGTATCTCATTGTCTGAGCATTCGATCCCGATAGAAAACCTGTTCGAAATTACCGTTGCTACGCGATTACTGTGAAGAGGTAGATTCAGAATGAATAGACCAGTTCACGGTTAGCACAATACTGCAATGACCCTGAATATCCACAGATCTTCAAACATGAAGAGGTCCCACTTTGTACATTTTGAAATAATCCCTCCTACAGCGATGGAGGTGCTACATAAATAGCCTTTGTTTCCCCTTTTCAAAGAATACTTCCACCTGAGTATCATGGAGTGCATAAATGAATAACGATTACATAACTTTCATGAGCACGTATCCAGTATTTTGTCTCCGTGTATTTCACAATTTGTTCTGCAATGACCTTTATCTGCTCATGCTCAGACTGCAACCGTGAACTGGCTTGTCTTCCCCCCCCCCCCCCTCCCCTCCTCCCCCCCCCCCCCACACACACACACACCCGACAGCCGTTTACCCTCATTGATATATTTTCCTGTCGACAAACTTGCTTTATCGTGTCAGCGTTATTAATAGTTACAAGAAAAACTTTAACCTTGATCAACATTTTCATGAACTTCGGACTCATGTTTACAGATCGTAAAGCATTGACATTAAAGCGATTGCACACGAGAGGAGTCGGATTAATGAAACCTACACGCTGTTATGCCCGGTACACGAGGCGTTGTTTTTACTAACGCACTGCGTCATCAGCGTCTGGTACGGTCTCTTTTGCATTTAGGTGTGTTTCATTATGTTTAGGGTTATGAAAGTGTTTGATCTAAGGGTTAAAGTAAGGAATTCAGTTAGTGCAGGATATAAATGCAGTGCCATTTCGAAGATACAATATGCGCATGGGCAGTTAAAGGTCATTTGTACCAAAATTGTAAATACTGGGTATTATTATTGAATCATTATTCATTTATGGCACATTCTATGATACACAGGTGGAAATGTTCTTTTTTTCAAGAGGGCAAACAAAAGGTATTCATGAAGCAACTTCATAGCAGTGATTATTCTCGAATGCATAAAGTGGGATTTATCCATGTTTGATACTTGGGGTTATTAATTTGTACAAGTGCAATACGGTTGCCTATAAAAGCTGAATAATTTTGTTTACCTATTTTCATGAAGTCATTTTGAGAACATGGTTTATTCTTTGATAGATAACGTTTATATCTTCTCAAAACTTTATTGATAAATTTAGTGAGTCGTATAAGGTATGATAAGATAAGATAAGATAAGATAAGATTAGATAAATAAGGTTCTCTGAGAATATATAAACTTCATGTCAACAGTACACCATATTGCCACAATCATTAAATGAAAAGATGAACGAAATAACAAATATTCCAACTTTATGGGCAACAGTGTACCTATTTCTTACATAATTATAGGGAACCTACCTTAGTATCTGATGCGTCTGTAAAGAGCGGGTTAGAGAAGGTTGGCCACGGGCTCTCTTCGTTTGACTCACTGTTCAGGTACCCGTAGGAATGGTATCGATGCATTCGCTTCCTACCATGAAAAGAGTAATAATGGTTTTAAAACTGATAATGATAGTAATAACCACTTTTTGAATGTCTTCTTCGCCTAGGCCCTATTTTCATTTATATATCAAAGGAATGACACAATTTCGTAAAACGAAAATTGTAAATTGACATAAATACGGGTACAATTCGCCAAGGGATGTTGTCTATGTCTCTTCCCGGAATGATAAACTTTTCATTAACTATAAACATTATCAAAAATGCAAAGAGAGCGAAGAATGCGATTTTTTATTGGTAAAATAGTGCATAAAGTGGATGAGAATAGATCAATGCAATCCAATTTAATTCGAGTCAATTCAATTGAATACAAAGAGACCTCCGAGAAATTGCTAGTTTCGAAATTATCATGGGGGGGGGGGGGGGGTGCAGCCCCTATCTATCGGATACATCTGATGATATACAAAGTCTTTCAATACTCATCATATTAATCATTCAAACGTGCATCTATTACAGCATAGGCTAATATTAAATCTCCAATTAATGTCATGAAAAATGTCTTTTTAATATTTCCACAGGTTCTGATTTGCTCAAGTTTCGGTGATCAAATTATTGTAAGCAATTAATATTCACTTTGTTTTACCACCCTGCAAACAGACAGCATTTGTATTTCAAACATGTGATTAGGATATTACTATAATTAGGTACAGTGTCAAAACTAGACAGCGTCGTTAGTTGAATTAGAATCATAAAATTCCATTTCCTGTCATGCACTGTATCATTAGTAATCTTGCCCAATATTCAGCTGCAAATTCAAAGCACAACGGAACTTACATTTAAAATAACTGACGGGTTATACGCTTCGACATGTGATTTGAATTCACTTAATTAAACATAGATTGAAGCTGTAATACCCAGTCGTAACCCGGTCACATCGACAAACAGACAGCTTAAAGCCCCACTGCACTACTTATAGCTACTTATAGCCCTCTATATAGCAAACAATGCCTTATCGGTGCCCCCATGATCCCTTTTTCTAATGTTAGTTGAGATCTGATTTGATGAGATAACCACCTGTCAGTGACCTTGCAGGGAGGTCTACCCCCCTGGTCAAACTAGTACAGACGGGCATTAATGAAAGAAGGTCGGTCATTCGGACTAACAATTTTTGTCATGGGTCTTTTGTAGGTCAATGGTCCCGCGTCGCTCATAGTGGTGTGACTTGCGGATTGCTGTAATGAATCCGATACAAGACTCACGAATATATTCAGCAAAGATTTACATGAAGGTTTTGTCGATTTTCTGTTGGTTTGGATTTAATTAGTTTGCGGTGTGGCTAGGGCATGAGCGGGGCTACGCCACGGTAGATATACCCTTATCAAAATACCGTGTCCAAAATCAAAAATATTATCCGACATAGAATTTAACTTAGAATATGTCATAATTATAGTAGCAGATGAATTTTGTTAGCAGTTAATTAAAACAAAAAGTTATAATTTTAACATGAGAGCCCATTTCTTTTATCTATGTTGTTTGATCAAGAAATATTCAAACATACTCCACGAAACACATAATCCCATAATGGCGAATCGTACTGAAAATGCCATCATGAAAGATGAAATACAATTATAACGAACTGTTGAGTACATGAATGATTCAGTCCATGAGTTGATAAATGATCGACGACCTTACTTAAAAATGAATGTTAAGAACCTTGTGTATTACGAAACTTCAGATACATCTTGCCTTTCTAAGCATCTTCGAATGAAATGGATACAATATTCACTACGAACCTTTTGTACAATATTATAGTTTGGAGTTTATTCATGAAGTTAACAAATAAACAGTTCACTCTTGCTGTTGTATTTCATAAGAACGTTTAAGTTCTAAGCTTGGCCGACACTTTCTAGACTTATAGATAGGTAAAGTTGAGTACAACAAAAAAGGTTCTTTTGCACATTCCATTGTAAATTAGGTTACTACGGGTAAAAGATAAAAGATAGTAAACTGGTGGATTTACTAAGTAATTTGACATCCCCAAAACAACAACAAGCAAACAAATAAAAACAAAACAAAACAAAAGAAGGCTTGTACTTACTGTATTCTTTTCCGTTTGGACAGTAGGAAGACAATGACAAAAGAGAGGACGAGTCCGCAAACCCCGCAGGTAACCCCAGCAATTAGTGGAATGTTCACGGGATGTCCAGGAGATTCACCAATGTCATTTGTTGTTCCTGTGTCAGTGGTGGATGCCATCACGGATATCGGGTGTCCTGGGCCTTTGGACGGTGTCTTTGAAGCGTTCGAGGAGAGTGGAGATGATGCTATCTTTGAGGTTGATGATACGTTGGTTGTGTTGCCAGTAGTGGTTGGCATCTCCGGGGTGGACGCCCCTTCTGAGGGTCTTCCTGATGCTGTCTTCCCAGACGATGAAGACTGCTGCACCGAAGTCTGGACTAGCGCTGGTGATGTCTTTCCTAATCCCTGTGTCGTGTTTACTCCCTGCGTAGTTTCTACGGGTGTTGCTGTTTGTTTGGCAGTGGGTGAAGTCTGTCCTGCAATTGTTGTTAGAATATCTGTGGTACCTTTGGTCTGTGGGTTTTCTGTCGTTTGCTCTGGTAAAGTCTGATTTTGCATTCCGATAGATGTTGCATTTCCTGCATTTGTTGACTGGATCTTTGTTGTACCTACTGTACTTGTACCGTTTGCTGTCGTTTGTCCAACGGTACTTGGTACAGTCTGATTTGTCGTAGATGACGTTGGCCCAACAGTACCATTTGTCGACAGAGACGTTGTGGTACCTAGAGTAGACGGTTGGTTCGATGAGAGTTTCATCGGAGGGATTGAAGATTGTCCATCAGTTTGAGAGACTCCTGTTGTAAATTGTACAGTCTGATTGGCTTCAGGTGACGTTTGACTATCAGTAAATGTAGTGTTTCCTATGTCTGTCAACAGAGACAATGTAGTACTTGCACTCTCTCCAGTAGGTAGGGCCTGTGTACCATTTACTGTCGTCGGTCCTCCAGTAGTCAGTACAGTCTGATTAGCTCTAGACGTTGTTAGTCCTCCAGTAGATGACATGTTTCCTGCATCTGTGGTGCCTGCGGTATATGCTTGTTTGGTTGAAGATTTTATAGGAGCTGGTGATGGTGGTCCTGTAGATGGCGCACCTCTTTGTGTACTTTGTCCAGTCTGTCCAGGTGTAGGTGGTTGGGTTTGCCCTGCGTTTGTTGACATCCCTACAGTAGTTTGAGCTTTTGTTTTAGTTGTTAATGGAGCCCCGGTACCAGGAATCGTCGGTGGCACCGTTCTACCTGGAGAAACTGAAGATGGGATAGTTCCTGTCTGTCCTGCAGTTAGCGTCGATTGCAGGGTTTGACCAGTCGGGGTTACAGTTGCACCTCCAGTTAAGGTCGGCTGACCTGACCCAGTTACAGTGTTACCTCCAGTTGGTGAGCCACTCGGTGAAGCATTGCTTACAGAAGGTGACACAACTCCTCCAGTAGACGTCACCCCACCAGTTGGTGAAGCTGCTGAAGGTCCCGACGGTGACCCTCCAGGGGATGAAGATACCAACTTCAACGGAGCTGGACTACTCGTAAACGGTAGAGCAGAAGACGTCATTGATACAAATGCCGGTGAACTGAACGAAGGCGACATCGAAGGTGATACCGAACTCATGGTCATCGTTGGACTTCCCGTCATCGTGACACTTCCAAATGTCTGAGAGGGCGTTGAAGACATCGGAAACAGCGTTGATGATTTCACCGTAGTTCTTGCCGGTGTTGTAACAGCTTTAGTCACAGATCTTGTGTGTGTTACAAAACCCTTTGTTGTCTGTCCCAGCTGTGTGGTAGGTGTCTGTGTTGTACCATTCTGTACTGTAGGTCCCTGTGTTGCAGGCATATTAATTTTTGTTGTTTGGAAAGCCAGAGTAGGCTGAGTAGTTGCTGTTCCATTTGCCCCTGTTGTTGGCGGATGTGGCGGATGCGTTAGTAATTGTGCACTCGAGGGGTATTCTGAAGTACAAGGAAGACACATATTCCTAGGGTTAATACTTCTGTTTATTATAATACTCAAGACAATAATAATGATGATACTAATATTCGGTTCTTGTATAGCGCATATCACATGATACCGTCTCCATGCGCTTCCAAAGAGATTTGGGATGATCAAACACTGAATATTAATATTCCAAATTTTTATATGACTTGTTAAGGTCTACTCTTGGACTTGATGTCCCTAATACATGAACACATTTTGCCATGGTAACAAATTGTTTAGCTCCCGGGTATTCAAACGTGACTAGAGGATAGAGGAAGGTGATGGCCAGTGAGTGAAATAGAAAATTGACAGAAAGAGAAAGAGAGGGGGGGGGGGGGGGGGGGTGAGGGGGAGGAAAGATGGTTGCCCGACCCAAGTAACAATAGGCCCCTATCAATAAATGATATAATCGAAAAATAAACCATTGTTTGCTATATAATCAATCAATCACAATGACTTGCTTTGTTTTATGATAAAATAGCAAGACTATAGAACTCAACCGACGTCAACAGAGAGTTAGTTTTAGGAGAGAGGGAGAGAGAGAAAGAGAGAGAGGGAGAGGGGGAGGAGAGAGAGAGAGGGGGGGGGGGGGAGAGTTTCATGAGGAAGGAGACAGGTGTGAAGGAGCTAAAAGAAAAGGAAATTTTTAGAAGATAATAACATTACCCTGTGAGAGCAGGATGACAGCGATGATAAGGATGCACGTTTTCACACTTGTTGAATACATCGCGCTGGTGTGCAGTTATCTTTCCAGACAGCAGATGACGAACAAAAAAATTGGCGGGAAATCGCTGGTTACACGGATGCACGCACGTTCATAGGCAGTGTGTGCTGAGACGACGTGAATTTTTTCTTCACAAGCGTTCACTCTAAAATTGTGAGAAAAAAGCGTATAAATCGTACATTAATTATTGAGCTACTTTTCAACGATTCATGAATCTTTGAGAATGGATGGCAAGAATGTAAGTTTCGGCCCTCATAATGTTCAACTATAACATTAGCTTTGATGACTAAATACCCAGGATATTGCTTTGACGGTGAGAGGGACTTGGAGACCGTCCCTTTTAAACGCATGACAATGAATCATCATAAACCCCATGACATTAATAATGATGATTGTTATATTCTCAAAAGTTGTATGCTCCGTTGCTGCAAATTCCACTGCAAGGTAACATGGCACTGTCTCTGGAGCACAGTCCTTCGTATTATTTACATAGAACCTTATTTACATTCGACGTAATACGTATTCAATAGGATATTTTACCACACAGATATTCAAAGATAAATTGTAGTTATCATGTTTGATAAACCTTTAAAAGTTCCTCAAAGTGTCAATACCGTACTCGTCGTGTGTAGTTGACAGGTTTGACGGGATATGGCATGATGTCGGCACATTTCACTTACTGCTAGCAAAAGTAAGCTGGCTACACAATTCTATCATAGTGAATTTCTGTGGTAACAAAATACTTAACATAACTGAGGAGCGTCATTTTGAATTTCAAAATTATTGAACGACAGAAAACCAAACATACTGTTAATTATACACAAACATACACATTTATCAAAAATAATAATGACCAACTAAGAAATAATATGACGACATAGTTCTCAAAACACTTAATATAACCTTGCATTAATATTCGATTAGGTTATATTGAGTCAAATTACAAACTATTACCAGAAACATCGTAACCACATTATCGCTGTATATTATTCATGTAAAAATTGAACAATGTTAGTTGAAATGTACTTACTCTTAATGGTGCAAGAAACACGAAAATAGCATATCGTCTCCTCTTCCCCTCTTTCTAATTAACAGAGTTTTGCTTCGGCACGCGATTGAGGTCGGGGATCCTGTGAAAAGTCGTCAAAAATGTATACAGGAAACGAGTTGTAAAAGTACACCGAGCAGACTTAATCCCCGTAAAAGACGCGTGACTCTTTCAAAGCAAATACGCCGATGAAGTATTAAAGATTTGACACTTTCGCGTGAAAAACGATCTGAAATGAGTCTCCTATTTGGGAGTTGTCTCGTCAAGTAGTATAGTTTTACTCCTTGGTTTTACTTGCTTTGAGAGCATGTGGAAAGCATAGAGCTGAAGAGTTTGATAGAGACCGGAAAACTGACCTTCGCAAAGCTTTGGAACTTACTGCTTTATGCCGCCAGTCAGGCGCGGGGTTAGATATTGAGAAGTCTGTCTTGCACCATGCATCCAAGAAGTTGACTTTGCGCAAAATGTTTGTAATTTATCACGTAGAGCGATAGACTTTGGAATCAGAAGATATACAAAGATTGTTTAATGATATTAAGGTTCAATATTCCGTAACTTGATTCTTTTCATTATCACCTTTTAATGGTTGTCTGCCCGTGTGCAATCTGTGTATTTCCGGTTAGGTTCAATGTTAACAGGGGCGTGGATGCATCTAGAAGGAAGGGGGGGGGGGGGGGGGTTGCAAAAATGTCGATCGGGAATACACAGGTATTAATGAAGGGATGGTAGTCCTCAAATCAATGCACACTGGAATTACTATGACAATCCTAGTGTATATCGAGCAAGTTTGAAATCTTTCCGCGATATCATAAACAGTGTGCGTGTGTGTGTGTGTGTGTGCGTGCGTGTGTGTGCGTATGTGTGTGTGGGGGGGGGGGGGGGGAGGAGGGGTCTGTCACCCAATGGGCTTTGGTAACGGAATTGTCTATCACATCGCCTCATTGTCTCTCTGTTTTGATCACGGGGTTTTGAAAGATTCTTCATCGAATAATCCTTGGATTATATTCCTATGTTGGACGTATTATCAGCATGGCAACTGTCACTCAGTAGTCCATGGTAAAGCTGTAAGAACGCACAGGGGGAAATTCTTATAATTAGACAAGAGGACGAGGACAAATTCCCTTTTAATCTGGCACCATGCAGGCCTTTAGAGTAAAACAATAGGCTTAACTGAATTTTATACTTTCATAAATAAACTGTCAAAATATAATTTATCCCTGGCCCCCTACAAAAGAAAGAAAACGTAATCGTGTAGGCGGACGGAATTAACTCATTAATCATTTAATATCATGATAATATTCCTATGATATTGTATTTATAACAATGATGATGTTGATGATAATAATACATGTAATAACAGTAATGAAAATAATAATAAGAATGATAACGATTATAAGAATAATTATAAAAATGACAATAATACTACTAATAATGATAATTATGACGATGATAATATTAAAAGCAATGGCAATAATTATAATAATAATATAGAGTATTTGTAATGGAGCCAAGGTGTAATGGAGGAGAAAAAAATACAAGTACACGAAAATACACCCCCAAAAATGAATAACAACAATGTGAAAGTCAACTTACTGGAAAGCCGCTTTGAACAAATGACTGTTGAGGGCATTTTTAAAGCAATCTACTTTCGAAATATAACGAATATCTTGTGACAAGTGATTCCATAGGTAAGGTCCAGCGTGTGCAAATGACCTATCCCCCATGATAATGATAATAAATAATCAAATATACAGGAAGGGGAGACCCGAAGGTTACTGTGATTCAGTTCGCCTTTCGCCTACCAGCAAAAGTGACGCAAAATATTAATTATAATGATGATATTAATAAAAAGTAGGTTAAAAAAAAAAAATAATAATGATAATTATAATAATAATGACAATAATAATAAGATAATAGTACTAATAACAATACTTATAATGATAATGATAATGATGGTGAAACTACTACTAGTAAGTTTTAATTTTCAATACGCCAAGGGTGATATACGCCTATTTCCCAGATTCTATAATATACAATTCTATGAACCATATATACCTACTATATTGATCCTTTTACATTTCAGGATAGTTTGCATATTACCAACAGGATGTCAGTTTAAGACTAAACGATGTCAGAACTAATTGGGTGCACAGTTGCTAATTTAATCCAGAAAAAAATCACGATTAGCCTAAAGTCCTATACTAATCCTTCTTCACATTGATCCTAAAATAAAATTACTTTTCTCCCCTCTCTCCCCCCCCCCCCCCCTCTCTCTCTCTCTTTCTCTCTCTCTGTCTTTCTCTCTGTCTCGGAGACGGTTAATCACCATAATTAAAGATATCAGAGGCTTCAAGATATGGATATGACCGGAAATTTTGGTTGATGAAGAAGACGGAAGAGGAAGACAATAATTTCTCTGTGGGGGTACTAATATCTTGTCGATGGAGGAACAGCGGTGCCATCCGTAATTATAATATCCCTGTATCGGTGTGGGCATGCTTTGATGAGAAACAGGAAACGATTGTTAATCGTCATCATGCAGGGGATCTTTAATGAAGAGAGGCACGCCATGGTAAAGAGAGAGAGAGAGAGAGAGAGAGAGAGAGAATGTGTGGTTGGGGAAGGGGGGCATGAATAAAAAATGAAAAATATACATAGATAGATAGATATATTTGAATATAGATATTTATGTTGATATAATTATAGGCAGATTATAGGTATAGATAGATTGCTAATATCTTGGAAAAAAGTTTAATGGATAGGAGGATTAGGCTATATAGAAATAGCATTCAAGAGAATGGGTACAAGAGAATATAGCTACGGAAGAGGAGACACACACACACACACACACACACACACACGTGTATAGAGAGAGAGAGAGAGAGAGAGAGAGGGGGGGAGGAATCGAGGGAGGGGAGGGAGAGAGTGAGAGTGAGAGAGAGAGAGAGAGAGAGAGAGAGAGAAAGAAAGAGAGAGGAAGAGAGAAGGGGAGGGAGAGAGTGAGAGTGAGAGAGAGAGAGAGAGAGAGAGAGAGAGAGAGAGAGAAAGAAAGAGAGAGGAAGAGAGAAGGGGAGGGAGAGAGTGAGAGTGAGAGAGAGAGAGAGAGAGAGAGAGAAAGAAAGAGAGAGAGAGGAAGAGAGAAGGGGAGGGGAATAAGAAGGATAGCAGAAAATGAAGGGGCCGCCCAACAGCAACAACAATTACAATGACTAAAATAATAACGAGTGAAAAGCAGAGAGAATTGAGTGGAACAGTTTTCTGATGGTCACAATTTGAAGGGCGTTAACACAGAGGCCCTCAGCAGAGGATAAAGAGGGGATAAGGAGGGGAGGGGTGTGGCTAGGGGCGGGCGGTGGCGAAGGAGGGAGGTCGGGAAGAGAATGGGGAGGAGGAGGAGGAGGAGGGAGGCGAGTTAGGGGCGGGCGGTGGCGAAGGAGGGAGGTCAGGAAGAGAATGGAACAGGTACTATACGGGCATGAGGAAACTACGACCTGTAATATGAGGGAATGGTATTAAGAATAAGGAAATACACGTAGAAGACAATACATTGTGGGTCTCAGTGGATAAACATAAAAGCAATTCAAAGAAGAGAACCAAAGGACACAAATAGCTTGCCATACAAATGGGTGAACAATGTCGAAATACAGATGTAGGAGATAGATAGAGAGAGAGAGAGAGAGAGAGAGAGAGAGAGAGAGAGAGAGAGAGAGAGAGAGGGAAGGTATGGTGGAGGAGGGAGAGATAGAAAGGAAGAGAGAGAGAGTGGAAGATAGAGATAGAAAGAGAGATAGAAAGAGAGGGAGGGGTTTGGATGGAAGCAGAGAGGGAGAGATGGAGATGAAGAGAGAGAGATCAATACATAAACACGACAGGGTTGGTAATAATTATGAAGGGATGGGGAAATAGATACAGTGTAGAATGTCTTTTAGTAGAATATACATCCATAAGGAGATGCATGAAGAAAGGTGAATAGAGAGATTGGGTAGAATCTTCCAACCACAAACTCACCATCATCATCATTTCAAATCATTATCCTCAAACATCATCATAATCACATTATCATTATTACTCTTCTCATCATTATCATCAACACTGGCACCTTCATCATCATCATCACCACAATTATTACAACCATCATCACAATCATTAACATCATCACCATCAACATCAACACTATCACCATCACAATAATCATTACCACCACCATCATAACCCCTAATTATTGATCTAACCAGTATCATCCTCCTCCTAAGTATCCTTATCATTCTCAGCTCTAACAATCTTCCATGTATCCATTGTAAGTTTGTATACTCTTTTATCCGTATGGTACCTGTATGTATGTATTTGATCATGGTTAAAACTATGTATAAAGAAGCGATTAATCATCTAGAAGTCATAAATATTATTTTTTTATTTATTTAATCAAACTGTTGATTCAACAAAAAAATATATCAGCATTGCTTGTATCTATATAACATGTTCATGTCCACCATACAGGTTTTTCAGAGTTTCAATTTGGAGACATATGGCTTATACATAATATGTAAACAATTTAAAGAAAGGCTCAAGCATTCCCTAGCCTTCATGTATAACGATCAACCAATGATATACACATTTCCTTACAAATCCTTTATAAATAGCCATGCAAATCTTGAAGTATGTAATATATAGGCCTTGTAGAGTTTCTAGAAATGAAATAATTTTCATGATAGCGACTTGTGAGAAAATATTAAACAAACAATTTTCAACCCTGTTTGGAGAAGACGAAAATTGTGTTAGTTTAATCCAGACAAAACATTGAATCTGATGTCACTTTGTTTTGGTCAAAAGTGCCAGAGAATTAGGTAAAATTGTCCAATCAATTCTAACCCCTACCCAAATCAAAAGCCCGATTCATCTAAAAGAATAGTCCAATTTGCCCTCAATCTAATGGAGCTCTCAATTTTCAAGGGACATATGCTGGGCCGTAAAACACCATCCCCAAGTGACTTTACTTACATTTCTAACTTGTTTATATCTACTTAAAAATTAGATACTTTGGATAAATTTGTCTGTCAAATAAATATTAGCTGTGGGTTTAAGAAGATATTAAAACCTCAAACTTTCTCAAATGTATAAGGCATACCTGATCTCTAGTATTTCCACTAACTCATTTCTTTAGAATTGGTTTAAAACACAGAAGTGTTTATTACATTTGTACCATGTGCATTTCACACATCCAATGACAGGGGTAATAGTATATTTGTAAAGCATTTAGAGACATTTGTGATAAGCACTATATAAAAATTAAATATTATTATTATTATTATATTGCCAACAAAATATTGGAATCAGCAGGCACCTTGAAGTAACACAGATTCACTATAGGTTTCAGGACTCCAACCAACCACAGATGTTCTAGTCTGTTTGCACTTGATTCTAATGCTCTTATGATCTCATAGAATTCTCCTAGTCCATCAGCTCAGTCCCACAGCCGCATACCAAACAATGGTGTCTGTTCATTCATCCACACTCAGCTAAAACTGTTGAGTCTATAATGATCTCTCAGTCCCATTTGGAAGATTTTGGCCTCATGATGGTAGTGCCATCAAGTCGGAACTGTTCATACATGTCACTGTCTTTCTGGTTCTCTTTCTGTGCGTTGATATAGGCAATGTACGCGACACAGCCGGTGAGGGCAGCCAGACCGAATCCCATTATAAATTTGTTCTGAAGAGAACGGGAAACAGAAAAAATATATCAAACATACGGAAAACACATAAGTAAAAGGACATCAAACTCAATGAACTAGAAGATTACCTGGAAAGTAATTAGATAATATCCATAAAGTTTTAAAACATCCATTAAATTAGTTTTAACTCTATCAATATTATGGATAATGATGATTGTCACACATTTCTGTATTTGATAAATGGCTAAAAATTTAAAAATGTGATTGTATAGAAACTTTTTCATTGAAATGAATGTGTAATTTATTCACACTACTGTTTTGAGGTACAAATGTATTTTTTTTTTTTGGGGGGGGGGGGGGGGAGGTTCATTTTTCAAAAGTACTGCAACTTTCCTTTATCTGGATCGAGAGTAGAGAACAAAATCAAAATCATTACAAAATATTTGATGTATTTTTTACCAAAATTTAGTTCAAAGTTGCACAAAATGATGAATTAGATATCATAAGGTTATACTTGATAGATTTTTAGTACGAGTTGGGGCACTGTAGTATTGATGAGTACCTGGGTTTGATTGTTGCTTGGTGCTTACATACTTGGGCTTGGACAAGGTTATTTATCTACGTTTGTCCCTCTTGACCCAGGGATATTAAATAGGTACTGAGCAATGCTGGGGTAATTATAAGAAATGCAGGACCCTCAGGAAGAACAGCACCAATACTAGTGAGGTTTCCCTGTGTAAATTAGATTATTATCATTATTATTATACCGGTACTTACGGGTTTAGCATAGAGTTCAAAGTTGACTGCTCTGAATAATGATGTAGATTTTATACTCCGGATGCCTTCTCCTGCTCCTGCTCCAGTCCCGGCTCCGGCTCCTGTCTGTCCTCCAGCCTTCACAGGAGGTTCTTTTCCATCTGCCATTAGATTCTTCCTTGTGTTAAACCTTTACATAAATCTGTACAAATAAAAACAAAAATAAAAAACAAAAGACAAAGTCAGGCCATGTTAAAGATGATTCCTAGTCTCTCATCCAGATCTGTCTAAAATGTCGAGGGGAAACAAAAAATATAGTATGTGTTATTCAATTTTGTCAACAATGTACACTTTTACCACGGTATTGGGACAATTGCAGCATAGCTTTGTTTCAATCCTTCCTTTGTTTTTTTCTCATATAGGCTAGGTCTAGTCTATGCTATCTATACGTATGGTAACAAATTATGCAATTTCAAGTTTCATGATTTTTATGTCAAATCCATAACATGCCCGCATATTCTAGAGGTGCTTAGCAATAACAATAATATATCCTCTATTCCAAAACTTGTCAATCATCAGGCTTTCCAGTTTCCATGCAACCATAACCATCTGGTGGTCTCTCCGACTTGTCACCATCTTTACCTCTGGCATTGTTGTAATAAGATTTTATAATTACGCTGCGCGCTGCTAATCTATGCTAATTTTCAACTTGTTAATACTAGACTATATTAATTAAGCTTCAGTCTCTGATATAGTCTAGGCCTAGACGATTGTTCTGCCGAGACTACCTCTGGCCCCTCTTCTCTGTTTAATACTAGGGGTCTAATAGTTACTTCTGTCTCACACCACATTTCTATTCCGATTTCAGTTTCTGTTCTCTTAGTTACTTCTAACTCAAACATCTTTTAAATAAAATATTCCTCATGCACACATCATCTGAACATTTCTAGCGATTAGCCTAGATAATGATTAGACCTATTATTATCTATAATTTTAATAGGCCCCCCTAATAATTAATATTTTGATTTGTTTTTTTTCTCTCCATAAACAAAATCATGCTCTCCTAGCTATAGCTCCTCCCCCCTTTTGTTTGATGCTAAGTCTTGTTATCTTACCTATGCAGCACTAAAAACTAACCGTGTTAGGGGCTGTAGTTCAACAATGATAAAGACTCGTACTTTTTCAATCTTCACTCTTCACAATTCTCTCTCTAGCTAGGGTCTAGCTCTGCATTGCATTGTTTGCATGCGCATGCATATTGCAGTCAAAGTAACATGTATAATGAACGAAAGCAGACGATTTTCTCATGGCTCATGGATAACAGTTTTCTTTAATATGCAACTATAAACCTTTATAAAACATATGGATAAGATTTCAAATGTTATATATTTAAAAATAATTAATAAATATATTTAAATATTCTATCTAAGGAAGATTACATTAGTCTAATAAATTCTTATATTTTTCAAATAAATAAAGTCGAACGAGACTAATAATAAAACAAAATGGCAGCGCCCGAGCCAAAACGACGAAAGCATTCTCACAATGAAGATTCGGAGGAATTTCCGGTGAAATTTCCAGATTTCATCATTTTCATCGTCAATGCAAGAATCCAGAAAGTGCGACTGAAGAAACTGCGTCACCTTGGACGATCCAAGGGATTCGTAATCTCATCTGAGCTGAAGTAGGTATTCTTAGAATCTAAACCATCGAGGCGGTACAGTGCAGTGCAGTGTCAGTGTGAATGAGTGTGAATCTATCTGTGTGATCGAGTCCGAGAGAGTGACGCGACGGTATCTTGTAAGGACGCCTCTCCGTCCGGGCCGTGTGGGCCTTGCCTTGGAGCTGGAGCTGGAGCTGGAGCTGGAGCTGGAGTGGGAATAAAGCTTGGCTTCGGGCCCAGGGAAAAAAATATTTAAATAATTTTTGGGGCTAGACAAGCTTGCTTGCATGAAAATAACACTCTTTAAGACTTTAATTTGTTTTACATTGAACTCTAGATCTATGCAAATTTTTTGGGGCTCTTCTTACTTCTATGACTTTTCCGGGGCTCTTTTGGCATGTAGTGAGCATTTCGGGGGCTAATTCGCCCTGAGCCCCCGTGTATTTTTCCCCCTGTCCGGGCCAGTCATCCCAGTTCAGCATTTTGCTCTGCGACTTTGCTATGCCACTGTAAATTTTATAACCTCTCATCTCACCAATATCATGAATATATCTTTAAAACACCAATGATCAAAAAAACACTGCCAATTTCACTCAAATCCTCTCTCCTAAATCTTCAACAAATAGTAACAGAGCCCTGAAAAGGCTACATCAATACGAATTAGGACTAACTCAGAAGATGCCCAGTGCAGGTACGTCTGTCTTTTATTGTAGGCTGCTATGCAGCATCATACTGAACTTTTTTAGGGAAAGTATATTCAAATGAAATACAACATAAGCCAATAGCAAAATAGGATTTAAGAGTAGACTCTAACTCTAAGACTGAATATTCAAAAGGAAAAAGAGAAGACTGAAGAGAACCAATGATAAGTAAGAAGTGGATCTTGCACATGCATCTTGTTTATCGCTATTATACTTACACTGTACCAATTTTCACTTTTAACTCCTCTAATGGTTTGCCAATGACTTGATTATTTTCTGAATGTGCAGTGAATCTGTGACCCACGTTGTGACGGAACTCAACTCCCGAGACCATGTCATCAGCGTCCTCCAGAGAATCTGCAAGTCTCAGCGGAACACCGAACTCAACGCCTTTGAGTTTGCTCAGAAGGCAGAGCTGCTTTCCCTGAAATGGTATACCTCATGCATGGAAGAGGACAAGCCGGTAGAAATCACAGATGAACATCGAGTACCTTCAAGAAAACCGGTAGGGTAGCAGCTTTTCTGCCAATATTTTTATAGCCTTTGATTTTCATTTAAATTAATTTTAATTCAGAGCCCTTAAAGGTACATCAGTTGCTGGGTAGAACAGGCAATAAATATCAGTGTTTAAAAAATGTGAGCATTCTGCTCTGAAATGGTAAAGATATTTGCTCGTGAAATTAAGTTTAGAATTGGAAGAGTCATAGTATTATTCAAGTAAATGAATGAATTACAATACATTGAATATGTAGAAATGTTTTTTTGCTGAATTCATGACAAATCTTTGTGTTTTTTCTTTCTTTGCAGCTTGATCCTGATGCATTAGAAGAAGATGGAGAAGACAAACCAAAGAATCGCAGATTTGCTTGCCAGAGGATAACACCTCTCAACCATCCAAATCAGAAGTTCACAGTAAGTCAAGCTATGTTCTGAATATTTGGCTGTTCCCTGACAGACTGCTCTTGTACACTCGCCTCCACCGCAAATATCAACAAATCTTTTTATGTATGGAACCCCTGGAAATTAACTCCCTAGACAACCGAGTTAGTAATTGATATGTGCAGTGAGACACACATAGACAAGTAAATTTCCATCCACTCTACAACTACATACACTTTGACAAGCATGTTTTGTTTAAATATCTCTTTTTGATTATCGACATGGAGGATATGGTTTATAAAACAAATATGGATTGCTTATTTTTCTGGTCATGGTTAAACTTAAGCTACAGTCCCATATACGTCCCGGACCGTCCCGGACCATCAAGGACCCCATCCGGGGTGATCCGGGATTCGGTCCGTGTTGACACCGTGTTGGCACCGGGGTGGTCCTGGATGGTCCTGGATGGTCCTGGGCGGTCCGGGAGTCGACCCCGGATGTTTTTGATGGTCAAAAACTGCCGGGGTGGTCCGGGACTGTCCGGGACAATAGTTTGATCCGGGGTGATCCGTGTAGCCACCGTGCTGGGTCCGGGGTCATCCGTAGTGGCGCCGGGGCGGTCCGTGTTGATCCGTGGCAGTCCGGGAGTGAGTTATTGACCCCGGATCACCCCGGCGCCCCTACGGATGATCCCGGACCATCCCGGTGCCAACACGGATCATCCCGGAACGCCCCGGGATAATCCGTGTTGGCACCGTGTTGGCACCGGGGTGGTCCGGGACGGTCCGTGGCGGCTCCGTGCTGGGTCTGGAATGATCTGTACTGCTGCCGGGGCTATGCCCGGACGGTCCGGGGCGGTCCGTAGTGGTACCGTGTTGGGTCCGGGGAGACGGTCGGCGGTTGCAATTTTTTGAACAAAACATCCCGGACCATCCCGGATCACCCCAGACCATGGTCCGGGATGGTCCGGAGTGGTCCGTGCTCGTCCGTGCTGGTCCGGCTTTATATGGGACTGGGGCTTTAAGCACTTCGGTGATCTCAAGACTGCAATAGGGGTCAGTGTCAAAGGTTATACAGTCAAACCTGTCTATAGGGACCGCCCAGGGGAAACAGAAAATGTGATCTTTGGAGACAGGTAGTCACTAAAGCAGGTGTGACTGTACCTAGTGTAGGCATTGGTAGTCTGGAGTATGGCTGCCTAGGAGTACTTGTCCTAGAATTTAATCATTAATTTCTTTCAATTTGTAGGAAGCGTTAGAGTTCCTGGAGAAAGCAGCAGAATTGCGGATGGGAGATAACAGCCGGTCAAGAGCGCTGGCATTCCGTAAGGCGTCTGCTGCCCTCAAAGCTCTTCCTGAAGAGATCAAGAAGCCAGAGGATGTGGAAAACTTGTATGATATCAGGGGTGGAGCTCATTGCAAAGGGGTGATCCTGGTGAGATAATTGTTATAGCTCTTCCTTGAAGCCCCACTGCACTATTTATAGCTACTTGCGCCCTCTATATAGCAAACAATGCCTAAGCGGTGACCATTGGTCCCCCATGATCCCCTTTTTCTTATTTCAATTGATAGCTGATTTGATGATATAACCACTTGTCAATGACCTTGCAAGGAGGTCTAATCCCTCCTGACCAAACTAGTGCAGATAATAAATTAAGGAAGACTGGTATTCTTTTGAAGTTGTTATATTAGACAAGCCTCTGACAAGTGTAATTGGTTACAAAAAAATGGTGCAGAATCAATAAGCGAAATCTCATTTTGCCTTCCAGTGTTTTGTGACTTTTCTTTTCTTCTTTCAGGACATCCTTGAAAATGGGTACAGCGCAGAAGTAGAAGGGATTAAGCGCAGTGACTGGTACCAGAACATGTCTGTGAGTTATATCTTATACCTAACCTCAGCTAATATTATTGTAGAGATGTCATTGTCCAGTGGACACGTGACCAGACTGTGGATCACATGGTTCGCGTTGTAAGTCCCCCTGGGGCACTAATGTCCTTTGGCAAAACATAAATCTACATTTGCCACTCTCCAGCCAGGTGAAGTAAATGGGTGCCTGGTATGAAGAAATTCCTTGAATGCTTTAGCTCCTCATAGTGGCTCAGCTACAGCCAGATTTTAATACAATATTACCTTGAAATTTAAATAGCATTTTCGACACATACATAATGAGTATTACATGACACAAAGCTTTTAAAAAGAAAAGTCAAATTAACATCTAGTTCTGTCGATCACTATTAAACAATGAATAATGGAATATTTTTTATTGAGTACCGTTAACTTGTCTTATCTTTCTTGTGCAATATCAGCTTTTCACAGGTATATATGGGTGTGGTATATCTACTTCAGCTAAATGGTGTCAGATGGGGCTTAGGAGTCTCGATGATGTGAAGGGCAGCTATATTCTGAACCTGACTAGGTCACAACTTAAAGGTATGTAGATCTCATGTCAATCCAACAGTAGCATATCCAGAAATTAGGGAGCATCAATTGGCAAGAGGAGGAGAGCTTATACTTTCACGGATAGGGCATAATGTGTATTGGCAGGCCCATATGCTCTTGCAAGTTGTATTAATTTTGATGTTTGGTTGGGGACATATGTCGGCTTCACCCTGTACTCTATATGGCTGCTGGCACTATATTTTCCATGTTGCCCACCGTTATTAAAGGGTCATACATGTATATGAAAAGTAGCTTGTAATCACAATATTCTGAGAACCTGTTGATGGATTGCAATCAAACTTGAATTTTAAAAATTGCTTCTTTTTTTGTTTGTAAAATGGGTCTATGGCGGAGGCATCATTTTCAACTGTGCGCAGTCGATGGTCCATCTATTTATTATTATGAGTTTTGTGGTTGACTTTGAATAGGTATTGAGTACTACAATGATCTGAACACGCCTGTCACTAAAGAGGAGGCCAAGTGGATCCATGATGCAGTCTCTCAAGAAGTTGCTGCCATACAACCAGGGAGTACAGTTGTCATGACAGGAGGATTCCTCAGGTAAGACAATATTCAGTTTAATGACACGTGCTCCATCAACAGGCACTCTGCGGTCAATATCCCACACTAACCTAGTTCCTATAGTTTAAACCCTTCACCTAATCCTTGCCTTAAATCTTAATCTTCAAACTCAATTGCAACCCCAACTCTTATCTATATCCAAAGCAAAACGGGGGCACACGTTGGGTCAAGAGATGTGTCCTTCAAGATAGATTTTACTCTGAGAATTGTTTTGTTTTGTATTTGTTGATGTAGGTAAACAGTTACATTAACATGTTGCAGACTAGATTATTCAAATAATACAAAGTGTTTGTCAAGACCATGGATGTAGTGAATTTTTTTTTCCTTGGTGCAAATGCACATAGTCATATCCAAGGGTCTTTGTAAGTGGGAATTAATGGGTTCTCATATGAGCTCTTACGGAGACTCGTGAAATAAAATACCCTACGACCAAGTTACATGTATGCTACAGTCAAACCTGTCTATAGCGACAAGGGAAACACAAAAGTTGGTCTCTGTAGACAGGTGGTCTTTGTAGACAAGTTCCTTTAGTACATGTTTCAATGAGAAACCATTTTGAAGGTAAACAAAAAAATGTGGTCTTTCTTGACAGGTGGTCACTAAAGCAGGTATGACTGTAGTTTCAAACCCCTGCTCTATTGCATGTGCCTCTGAAGAATGCCTGAACAGCAGATGGGTGATTACCTTTGTTTTTATCTATTAAAAGGGGAAAGGACACGGGCCATGATGTTGACTTCTTGATATCCCATCCTGAGGAAGGTAAAGAGAAAGGCATCCTTGGAACTCTTCTCCAAGCCCTCACTAAGAAAGGTCTCCTGGATTACACGGACATCCAGAACAGCACGGTCACCAAGACCACCGTCCAGACAGGAATGGACGCATCAAGGAACACCATGGATCACTATGAGCGTTGCTTCAGTATCTTCCGTCTCCCGAAGACTGCGCAGAGTCACCGCAGCGATGAGTCCTCAGAAAGAACTGTTGCAGAGGACTCTGCTGCAATGGATGTAGTTCCTCCTGCATCAGAGTCATCTCCAAGCATGGATGTGACTCCTGCAAATGGAACAGCCATTCCAGGTTTATCCCTCCTTGAGAAGACGAATGGAAGTACAACGTCTCCTAGTGAAATTGTGCAAAAGACTGAAGATTCTGGTCGTTCTTGGGTGGCCAGAAGAGTGGACTTTGTCATAGCTCCTGCCGGACAGTATGCCTTTGCACTTCTGGGATGGACAGGATCAAAGATGTTTAATCGCTCGATGAGGGACTATACCAACAAAGTGATGAACATGAACCTGTCAAGTCATGGGCTCTTTGATAAGACAAATGTGAGTATGCTACTCTTTATCATGTATTTGCAAAAATATGTCATGTACATGTAACTTCAGTTGCAGTGAGTCCTTTGCCCAGTCTTATAACTAGTTGAAATCAATGCAAATTGATTGCAACTTGATATTAATGGCTCATCTGTACTGAGAGATATGAGTTTGTAAGATTTGCAATCAATACAGATCAATTGCAGTTGTTTATAAGATGGGGTTTTTCCCATTGACACCCATAGTAACATAGAACTAGGATATACTTAGTAGTTCAGATGAAAATATTTTATTTTTTTCTTTACTTGGTGCCAGAACTGCTCATTGCAAGCCAAGACGGAGGAGGAGATCTTTGAGTTGCTCAAACTGGATTACAAACCACCAGAAGAGAGAAATTGCTGAGGGTAAATACAAAAGCATTTATGTAATTCTTCTAACCAAATTTTACAACTATGACAATATGAAAAGGTTTCTCACATCATCACATGCATTTAAGTTAAAGTTGTAGCAGTAGCATTTTACTGCCCTGGTTGTCTCTATTATCAGTGGCTAACCTAAATTATATTAAACAAACAAACTTAACTTCAGTAATAAACATGGTTATTTGAATTTACAAACAATGACAGTTATGAGACAAAATTACAAGATGCAATACCGTAATTGAAGATAAACTCCAGTTCTGGTAAAAAAAAGAAAATCAATTCTCAGAGAATCAAACGAAACTTACACTGAATGTTCAAGATTACAAATAAATGACATGTGCCAAACAATTTTGGAAGAAAATGTATACTGGCTGAGTAATGAGCATAGAAAGACAAGGAAATCAAGGTAGTACTAGCCCTGACACCATGTGTGTTGTCCCATATATAGCTTTCTGTGTACAGTGCTTGTTACTTTACCAAGACTCTGCCAAATTTATTATGATTTTGATGACTCCAGAACCTTGCAGTGCACACCAATACTTACATGCTACATGATCAACTGTTTCTGATCCATTCCACACCTTTTCTTTCACAATGCAATCGCATTACCAGAACTCACCTTTATCTTTAACATTGTATAAACCGCCCTCGTGTATTTACCGCACCCCTCTTTTTCGCCCTAAATTTTTTTTTTTTTAAATGTACCTGTGTATAAACCGCATCCCCGACTTTGAATTTGTTTTAAAAAAGTGTGGTCTATACATCGTTAATTACGGTAACTGCAATTATTATATATAGACAAAACTACTGTATGAATTACAGATGGAATATTTGGGAATTTACTGTGTAAAATGGTAAGGTTTTAGTCTAGTTTAAAGTAGCAACTACCGGGTATATGCATTTCATTTTAGCAACATTAAACTTTGAACAAATATTGTAGCAAGCCATATTATCTGGTGGGTCTTAACTTGTAAACTGGTAATCCTCATGTTTCTTTGCAGTCTTTCTGCCAAAGTAATTTTGTTCTGACTGCGGTAGGTTTGAATTATATCCGATTTTTTTTCTTCAAGAACCTTTATAACTTAAATGCCTTGGATTTCATTGCATTCTTAATTTCTCTCTCTCTCCCTCTCTCTATCTCACTTCATTTAGATGTGGTGATTCAACATAAAAACCTGGGCATTCTTCTTTTGCATGCTGAATAATTGTTTGTATGATGATGAGCATGTAAGTCTGGTGTTTGATACTCCTGTGTAGAAACCTTATCAGAACCCTTGCAAGGTGTACATTCAGTGCTAAAGAATTGGCATTAGATCTGATGCTCAGTGTATCACAAACCCAAGAACTGTAGCAAGGTGTTTGCTCAGTGCTATTGCACTGGTGTTAAAATCTAATGTTAAGTGTTTCTGAAACCCAAGAACATTTATACTAAGGTGTATGTTCAGTGCTATTGTATCGGCATTAGAATATGGTGTTATAATATCAGAACACTGCATTAAATGTGCTGATTTATAACTTAGCATTAAATTTGGTGTTGGTGTATCAAAACTCCAAGACCCCCAGCAAGCAAGGTGTAAGATAAGTGCTCATAAAATGGTATGATATTTGGTGTTAGTGTAAGTGCTGATATTGAAAAGCAGTAGAAAAGCTATTGCAGAATACTGCCCAGGTGTAAGATTTAACACCAGTAAAGCCCTGCCAAGACCCTTATATATACTGTTGAGAGCAAGAAGAGTGTTAACTCTGTCATAAATTGTATGAGTTAATGAGCAAAAGATATGTAATTTTACTTAAATTCAAATGAAACTTTGACTATTCTATGGTTGTATGACTTACAGCAATATTTACACCAAACAGGGAATGGTACAGGTGTAAAAAATGTAAGTGTTAGTGCTGATTTTTAGAAACGGTGCAATGTCCTTTGCAAAGTACTGCTTCACTGTAAGTACAGTAAAAAATCCAACACGATTGAAGCCCTCCATTGGAGAGAGGTTTACATTGTGTTATGGGCGTAAATTTAAACACCCAACTACATGATTATCTGCATTACAGCAGTGCTAACTGACACACACAGACAAACAATCAGTGCTTCAATTGGATGAAAAGGTATGAAATCCATTGTTTCACTGTAAAAACCATGCCTTCGGTGTAAAAAATAATGCCTTTACTCTAGTCTAGTGTTAGTGTAAGCAATAACCTTACTCTTGTGTTAGAACAGTAGTACATTAGTACAACCGCACAAAGCAAGCTCTTACCAACATGTTACCTGGTGCTAAATCAAACACTGGGATGGTGGTGTTGTATTACACCAAAGCACATAAACACCAAGAGTAAGGGAAGGTGAATGTCTAAATAATAATTCTCTGAGACGAGGCCAATTGTTTAAATGTTAAAATCTCCTCCGTCCCTGACACTGAACATATGTTTTTTTCTTATTCTATTAGGTGACCATGGCAACCAAATTTAATCAATAAGCAGCACCTGTAGTGAAACCCTATACAAATAAAATATAACACAGCTAAATTGTCATTACTTCTCTTTTACAGGCTTTTCAACTTTTAAATTTTTTCTAAATGTCCATATCCATGACTAATGGAAAAACACAAACACTGAAATAGGAAGCAACTTTTTTTTTCCAAATTATATAACACCTTGACAGACTGTATTTCATAAATGTCATTATATGACAAGTTAATTCCTTTCCTTTCAAAGTGTTGATGAGACACCAAAGAGGCGGTGTAAGCGTCATGGGTTAGAGGTTTCTTATTAATGTTTTATAAAGTTTGTGGGTCAAACAATTATTGAAAATCTAGGTAAGTTTCTTGTAAACGTATTCCCTGAGTAATTTAATGTGATAAATTAATCTCATTCACTATTTTGTATTCTACTTCCTTTCCCAATTTTGTAAGCACTGTTGTGCTCTGTATAAATAAGCACCCCTTAGTAACTAATATTACTATCATGTACCTGTATATAAGGTTTGTTTGCATTGATATTGTTACTATGTTTATTTCAATGTAATTCATGGTGTATTCAATTACTACATCTATGATCTTAAACATACATGTACTTCACACTTTTCATCTGTCTGTTACTGGTAAATTATGTTAATTACTCTAAAGATTATGATTTATTCTGGAAAATCATGTCGCCACTGGTAGAATTGTGTTTGGTTAAAATTTGCTGAGAACTGGAATAAGTAGATTTTTTACATTAAAAAAATTATGTGTATATAATGGTGAAATGTGTTAATTACTGATAAGATAATGATCATCACTAAATTGTCTTAATTTCGATAAGATTATGTTTATACAGATGAAACATGTTTATGTTTATTACAAGTAAATAGTAACCTGGGATATTTTATATTATTGGTAGATACCTCGTATTTAGAGCCTGAACGTCATTAACTTAGTTAATGCCCTTCTCTCTCTCTGAGCAGATGATAGCTCAATATCTGATTATGATTTAGCTTATTACAAGAGAAAATAGACATTCAAATTTCTCAGTCAATTTTCCTCCTAAACAGTATTACCATAAGCGATATGAAGGGTTTAATATTTTGAGAACAATTTTCTGACAGGGTAAGTGCGATACAAGCAATTCATTTTGCTATGCATCAAAGAATCGTGTTCATTCACTTCCAAATCTGTTTTAATTCTCCATTTTGATTCTCATTTTGTCCAGGGAAAGTTTTTGATTTTATATTATTTTGCAGCTGAAATTCCTCATGCATTACCAGTTGTTCAGTTTTTGTATGCATCTGTTTTGTTTTTAAATCATTCCTCTTATGCTTTCAATTAATCTATGATTTTGCTTTTTTTCACTTCTCTTTTGCATGTTAACTAGAAGTTATGTTTCCATTCACTTGTTATTTTTTTCTATATACGTCTACTCATTATTTTCTTGATTTTCTCCATTAATGTGTCATCATTTCAGAGCTAACATTTATGTGATATCCATATCATATAACATAACAAATAAATACAAATAGAAGCAAGATATACTTCTTTTTTTAAAAGTATATAAAACACACTAGCATGTGGATCTGAAATGACTGATGCGCCAATCGGCTCACATTGAAACGTTGATTTGTATTAGACATAAAACCTTTTATTTTCATAATAATTTTCATAACAATTTTCTTTGTAGCATTGTAAATAAATAAGCAGGACATCATTTCAGAACTTCAACTTTTTATGATAATCATGTCATACAGGTTGTGAAGTAATACAAAGCAATAAGGGGGATGCCACAATGCGATCGGGAAAGGGAGTCAAGAGACTAAGCAATATAGATAGTGAGTAGCAGACTGGTCGAACAGTGGATTCTACGCACAAATCCGACATATTCAGATTTAAGAAAAATTGATAAATAGCAGACTCATAACGATAAAATTTATAGTTTAATCATTTTTTATTCATGATTGTATGTTTATGTACCTAAAGATTAATGGTAGTATGTGTGTATATTTAAGAAAATAGCAGGAATTCATCACATTTACCCAGGCACTTGCCTCACTTGGAAAAAGTGCTTATAAATTGTCTTACTTGCTTTTACAGGTTATCACATTGAGAAGTAGTAGGAGAATTCGGCTTGAAAGTGATATCTCAAATTAATGGTTAATTGAAGAAGAAAAGACAGGGTTTACGCATCAAGGTTAATTCATAAGATATTACTCTGGTAAAAGATAATGCAGCACTAGGCAGAATTGTAGATTATGTACTGTGCAGTTGAGTTTGATTTCTATAAGATATATGGTATACTTTGCAAAATGATTTAAAGAATTTATTATTAAACAGGGTTTTATTAATTTGCAAGTATCTAAGAGGAAATTGAATCGCCTTGAGCCATTTCTTTGTTTGATTTTTCTAACCTATGATTACTTTTTAGTTTTGTATACTATTATTGCATTCCAATTTCCTTTTTGGATAGGATCAGGTCAGAATATATTTTCATTTTTGTAATTTCAAGCATCCTATCATTTTATGATAGTATGTAATTCTTTGATTTGCAGTGGGACATAATATGATTTGGTCCTTATGAGCTGTGGAGTCTTTTAGGGTAGTTCACTTTTTCTAGGTATAGGCATAGTCAACTTCCCGCAATAGGCTTGTTATGACTTTAAAGACTATTTATTCAATTGTATGTTTGCTTATCTAGAATTCAGGATGCACCTGAAACTCTCTGTAGACGCTGTAGTATATTTTGTCAGTTCAAATAATATAATAATATAATAATAATAATATTCAGCTTTTATATAGCGCAAATCACAATAAGTCTCTAAGCACTTCCAAACTTGGATATTATTACCCCGGCTTTAGCTGTGCTGCCATTATAGCGCTCTAACATTTCAAGGAATAAATTCCTACCAGGTACCCATTTACTTCACCTATATATATATATATATATATATATATATATATATATATAATACATTTAGCCCTGTCAAGCTAAAGCATGGTGCTCTAGGAGTTTTCACAACAATAAGCATTAAAGGTACCTTGGAATTACAGCGAGCTTGCCACATCACAAAGACACACTGATCACACATATTTTGTGTCAGAAGTTGATTCTGAACGGTATGATACAATAATTCTATACCTTTACTTATAGAATTGTCACAACATCCATGTCCTCCCTACACAGACGCTTTGACGTTGTGTTGTATCTACTTTCGGAACTTGCCCGAGGGACAATATTACTAGTTCCAGATGAGAAGAATTTCATTATATTTGTATGGCTTACAGACAGTGTATCAGAATATTTTTTTTCAAAAAATGTAACACAATCATCTTTTGGTTCGTTTTGTTGTTGTCTGCATGTGTATGTGTTTTCAAATCTATTTACGAGTGTGTCTAAATAAATGCTGTACCAGATTATTTCTATATTTTGCATGAAATGTGTGTAGAGCCTTAACATGCATGGTCAGTACTAGATTGCATGGTAATGTAAACACTAAGTATTTCTATGGAAATGGATATTTGTTTGTCTTTGAATTATCTTTAAGATAAATGTAGCTGTCACAGCCACTGGGAACGTAACCATACCTTATTTGAGTGTTCGTAATAATAATCTTCTATTCATTAAAATGAAAATACTTATTGATATGTGCTCAAGGTTGTTGTTATTGTTGTTGTTGTAAGAACTAAAATATAAGAAGATTGCAATAATATTTTCAATCAATGTTGACATAAACGTGTAACCATACTGATATTTTAAAAAGAATTTGACTTCTTTAAGTATTGATTGTATTTGATTGTATTGTAAAAAAATAACAACATAAAGGCTGTGAAAAGAAGATTACGCTAATATTTTCAATCGATGTTTACTAAAACATTTACCATATACTGATCTTTTGAAGATGTTGACTTTTTAACATTGATTGTATTTTCATATAACGAAAGCAAACTAGAGGCTTACATTGATGAGATGTATAATTAATTATTCTAAATCAAGGGCATAAAGTTCTCTTGTAAAATGTTGTCATGAAATATTTGTATTTATAGAAATAGATTGGCAAATGCAATTCATTGAGGAATCTTTTTTAATGGTTAGAATGGTATCAGAAGATAATATTTTAAAGAAAATCCACTGGAGGTTATTTTTATAAAGTGAGATTATAGTCAAACCTTGATTGAGGAGTGAAAATTATCAAATGAAATTTGTTCATGCCTCCTATCTATGATAGTAAAGATATTCTGTAACTCATTGAAGCTGTGGTACAAGAAAAGTTCCAACTGATTTGAATTGCAAAAACAGCAAGAAGAAACTGAAGAGCCATATGATTTCATTGGGAAATTATTTTGTAGGTAATGAATTTACTGCCAATTTTTGTCTTGTTAAATGGACTTCAATGGAAAGTTGTGAACAGCAAAGTGAAGTTACAGAATTTTACTCTTACAAGAGATTCTTGAAATTTCTTTTGCATTTTTGCAGTATTTTGAATTAACTTTGTGCCCACAGAAAAATTCAATTTTCTCTTAATAATTTTAAATAGTACCTTTAACTAGTTTACTACAGTGTTTTTGCAAAAATGTTATATATTTTTTCACGAAGTACTACCATGTAGATGCTAATTCAGTAAAATATGAGAAAGGATAGTTTTGTATAAGTATGTAAAAAGTAAAAACATATGTAATTTAGCATGATCGTTTCAACATACTGGATATTCTATTTGACTTAGGGGTAACACTCATGTATGTTAGAGTGATGTTTTATCAACTGTAATAAAAACAATTTTGTCTGTTTAATAAAGTTGTGTCATCACATTGTATTTTTAATGTCTAGCATGATCCTACAATTTAGTATGAGCGAAGGGATGAAGTTTACAATTAAATCATACACAAAATTATTATTATTATCATTATTTTAGGGCAGCGTGGGTAGGGGTTGAGTGTCTGAATAATCATCATTTTTATCATCAAATGGCTAAAATAATAACACAATTGATATAAAAACTATCGCACATTTTCTACTCTAAGTCTAACGAACATGACGACAAATATGGTTTTCTCCATATTTAGAGGGAAGATTCCTGTCATCTGAAAGTTAAAATCATAATCTAAGATTAGTAATGGGTAGACCAGAAAGTGTAAGATCTTATTACTAATATACAATGTTTTTCACCACATTTAGTGGATTGCCTATACTTTCAAATGTTAACGCCTGGATACGTGGGCAAAGACAAGGGTTTCATTTTGTATTTAAAACGGAAAATTCGTTTAATCCCTGCTTTTTCTTCTTTATTGTAATATTTTTAGACATGAGAAAACGGTAAAAGGTGCATCGTTGGTGATATAATCATGATAATAGAGAATGCCCTCTAAAAATCGCTACAAATTTGTAAAGATTAGAGAGCTCTTACAGATACACATGTGTGATTGGTCCACAGTTCGTCACGTGGTTTTTTGGTTTAATTGTAACCTATATCTAGACATGAGTAACCGGTAAAGGTGCATCATCGGTGATATAATACGGAGTATCCGCTAATTCACTGGCACTCGACGGCATCCAGTACTCGGTATCCGGGAAAAACCCCATCTCAAAACTCTCGCTTTCGAAATCCTTTTCCTTATCGTGCGGTTCATTAAAATACCGTAGATCATTTTCATTAGTATCGGGTTCGAGGCTGTCGTTGGAGACACCGTGCATTTGTTCAAAGTAGTCGTTGATTATCGAAAGCGTGGTCGATGGCGGGATGTAGAGAGAGGAATCGTCGTGAATGTCGTATTCGTTGTCGAGTTTGGTCGACTGGAATGGATTTAAGCGATGGGCGAAACTCGGCTTGTTGTTTTCTGAGGGGTAAAATGTGGGATCGGATTAAATTGCTTAACAAAAAAACAAAAAATGCTAAATACTTGATCATGTGTGTATTATGAAATTCTTCCAGACAAAAGTAGACTTCCCAATTTCATGCAATTATCATTGTTCATTATGTTAAAGGTCTAAACTTTTCACATAAATCCATCAAAAGATAATTTCATGTTGAAGACTTGCATATTGAATAAAAGTGACAGTTTTGTCAAAAAATGTCTAAAAATATCACGTATAACCCTTCGTACACGAGTATTGCCACGGTTAGATGTTTCTTTATTTCGTCATGAGCTTTAGCATGTGAAGTATTTCAGGATTTGTGCAAAAACAAGTGCAGGAGGAGATGGTCGTTAATCATGAATAGTAGACTAGAAACGAATATACCAGAGAGGAAGTAAGCTGTCTTTCCTCATATCTTTAACGATTGTTCTCATTTTCATATTTCAGTCACCTATTTTCTAGTGGCTTTACAGTGACTGATGTTTATCAAGTTAATAAACTTTTGTTTGTGGTTGCATTAATATTCAATATGTTCCGATGATTCTTACCCAAATAATGTTGGCCGTATTTCCTTCCTCGATTACTCTGTCGGGAATATGTTTGCAGGGATCTGTAAGGTGACAAAGATCACAGTTAATGTCGTTCCTAAACATGTCTTGGTTAGTCGTCTTAATGTTTGAGAACATTCAATAATGGTTAATTGTCAGTATATGATTTATAACCTATACAATCTTTCGATCGGACGCTTGTTTGCCCTCGTTTCAAATCAAACGGCATTACCTTATTGTTTGCACCAGTCTCCTTTTCATTTAAAGTTTGAAAGTTGGCTTTCAGTAAGCACACAGGAAATTCAATTAATTTCTTGACTTTGACACCCCCCCCCAAAAAAAAAAAAAAAATTCTATTTTCACCTGTACATTTTCGTAATCAAATCTAATCTATGTCTTGAAATGCATGTAATTCGTCTTGAAATATAAGACAAAGACTTTACACTTCTTCAGATAGTACACATAATATTTAAAAAAAGAAGACATTAACATCGCAATGACATGGGTCACTCACCTTAGTGGCATTTGATCATCCTCCGGATAGGAGTTTCTTTCCCGCCATTTCCTGGCGATGCAACACCCAAAGATGACCAGGCAGAAGACTAAGAAGAAGATCATGGCAGCTATTGACGACAGTACTATCAGCACGACACTGTCGGACGAGGCTTGTCTTTCCCCCGTAGTCGTGGATGACGTGTTAGTCGTTGAAAACGACCTTGAGGTCCCTAACCTCGAAGTGATGACGGTTGGACCTTCAGCTGTTCCAGAAGGCGTGCTCGGGTCATCGTCTTCGTCCCTAGTGGTAGTTGATGTCTGCGACTTTGTTGTTTCTACTGGTGACGTGGACAATGATGGTGACGTCGACGATATCTTGACCGATGCTGTAGGGAATTCTGCGTGATCTGTAGTTTCATGTCCTGACATCAGAGTTGTAGCTGCATGTGTGACAGTGTCCTCGGTTGTCGTTTTGATGGATTGGGTGACCTGGGTTTCAGTCGGTTCATGTGATCGCGGAACGGTGGTAGAAGACGCATCACTTTGAGTACTAGTGGCTTCAGTTGTTGTATCCTTTGGATAGTCCGATCCTTCTGTAGATAGTGTAGTTGTATCACTTTGAGTACTAGTAGCTTCAGTTGTTGTAGCCTTTGGATAATCCGATCCTTCTGTAGATATTGTTGTTGTATCACTTTGAGTACTAGCGGCTTCATTTGTTGTACTTTGGTAATCTGGTCCTTCTTCCGTTGAGAGGGTCGTCTTGTAAGTTGAAGTGATACTTGGCGTGAAGCCATCGGTAGTAGGACTCCATTCCGATGTCGGCTGTGTTGTTTCTTCGAGGTCGAGTGTTGTGATTATGGTGGTTGAGGAAGTGGTTGACGCTACGGTTCCTTCGATCGTGACCTCGGTAATCATAACACCAGTCGTGTTATCTTCTGTGGAAGTCAAGGAATCGGATCCGGTAGATGTCATGGTATCTATTGATGAATGCGAGTCCCCTAAGGTGGTTGTAGTCATAGTTGGGAATGATTCAGAAGTGACAGACGTACTACTCGTTGCTTCTGTTACGCCAGTAGTCATGCTCGATTTATCCGTTGATAATTGTGTTTCATCAGTTGTTGATAACTCTGTGGTTTCACCTTGGACAGTTACTGTTTCTGTACTTTCTCCTTCCGTATCTTTGATGGTTTGAGTAGGTCCCAAAGTGGCAAGAGTCGTAGCAGATGTTTTAAGAGATGTAAGTTGGGTTGAAACCTCTCCAGTAACAACACTTGATTCTGTACTCAATTCTGCAACAGCTGTAATATCTGAGTTGCTCGTAGTAAACTCCTCAATATTAGACACCATGATAGTGATAACCTCTGTTACCGATACTGTCATTGGAACATCAGATTCCGTTGTAACATAATCAGTGATCATGGCAGTCACAAGCGGCTCGACATCTTCATTAGTTGTTGGTATATCAGTTGTAGAGGGTGCGGACATTGGTGTCCATGTTGGAGTTTCCATGTCTGTAGTCAAAGGAAGAGAAATGGTGATAATTTCGCTGACATCTAAAGGTGTGCCCGGTGAATCTGAACCGGGTTCTGTGTCTGTGGGCACATCTTGCGTGGTCCTAGAAGACATCGTTGCTGTCGCTGTATTTGCGGTGTAGACATCGCTCGTCGATTCATCAGTGATTGTCACATATGAAGTCCCAAGTGTTCCATCTGCTGACGATGTCATGCCCTCTGTGTTTCCATTCGTGAGCTCCTCTGTGGCAGGAGAATCGCTCAATGTCTGAAGGGCGGGAGTTGATATGAGGTACGTAGACATAGAGACCTTAACATCACGGGTCGTGACACCTTGTACTGTAATGTCTCTTTCTGTTGTTAAAGACTGGAAGGTAGGTTGGGTGCCTTCGGTATCCTGTGTTACAAGCGCCGTCGCAGAACTACCCTCATCTGTGGACATTTCGGACGGGGTAGTTGACATCAATGTTGAGGTCCACAGCGTAGATGATAACAGCGGTGATGGCGTGGTAGTGATAACTGCTTCTTGGAGACATCTGTCACCCGTAAATCCAGGTGTACATAGGCATGTGACATGAGCAACCCGTTTGCTTGTCGAGGGATTCGAAAAGCATGTACCTCCATTTCCGCACGTATCATTTGGTGCTTGGTCACAAGCAGGTTCTGTAAAATCGAAAGAAAAAAATTGTCATAGACTAATTATTCATTCCGATTTATGAATGCTTCTGCCACAAGAGCTTATTAACGAACTATTGCATCATCATGAACTCAATCCTTGAATTTTAATGACGAGGATGCCGTTTTCATGTTATAGACGTTCCCATGTCGGATAATCCTCTCGCAAGCTTGCGGGTCGTTATTAGTAAGCATTGTAGTAGAGGCATGCACGACACTGGAATGTTTTTGAGATATAAAACTTTCAGAGTATATCTCACGATTTCTAGAAAATGTATAAAGTCTTTACCTCCAAGGCACGTCGCTGGACTTTCATCGGATCCATCACTGCAGTCAGAGAACCCATCACACACGAAGATGCTGATGATGCACTCATTGGGCGTCGCACATTCCACAACAGAGAGTGGAAGATCCACCTCATCACAAACAAATGATACTAGATAAACAGACAATAAGCATGAAATCGAGAAAGTTAGCTTGTTAGAATTAAGAGTTTGAAAGAGTTTGTTTGCTCACGTTACATAAGATTGATTGCGATAAAGTATTACTATATGCCCTAAAGGTCGACTAGCATTTTGATACACAGTAATGAGAAGATCACATTTGAGAATGGCTTCAAATTTATAAAGTAACTAAAATGCATCGATAACTGCATTTTAATAGGAGAACCTTGGCAAATTTCATTGATTTTGTTTTAATTGAATGGCTTTTTGAGAATGATTCTTTCCCCAAACGATGAACAGGGTCTCACGTTTGTGTTGACTGTTTCCTACAATGCAATTTAATATCTTATTATCATGTTGAAAGAATAATACAAAATAGATATGTAATGGCATTTTATTGATCACATACGTTTATTCGGAGTTCTTGTATCTTGGAGGGTTGTTGTAGAAAGCAACGTAGTACTAATGAGTGTGGTCGACGTAACCGTGGCCACTGTGGTCGATGACGATGAGACCTCTCCTGTAGGCTCTAGGGATACATCAGTAGTCGTGGTGCTGGTCACATCATCAGTGAAACCATCTGAGGATGTCGATGGCTCATCCGAGGCAGTGGTTGACACGTCTTCCTCCGCATCTGATGTCGAAACCGATGGTGACGTTGATACGGATGGCGATGTCAAAGATATTACCGTGATCCTGGAAGGGTTAGAGTTTGTAGTTGGTACTTGAGGTTGCCCGACATCAGTTGTTTGGGAGATCGTTGTTATCATTGATGTTGATGGTGTCGTTGATGTTGATAATGACGCTGTGGTTGTAGGTGCAGTTGTGGCAGCTGTACTGGTGATGTCTTGTAAATCTGGAGATTCAGTAACATCAGATGGAGAACGGGTAGAAACGGTAGTAATAGAACCATCATCAAAAGGTGTCGTAGTTCTTTTTCTGTCCGTGAAAGCAAGAGTAGTTTCAGTCACCGTTCCCATTCTTCCCGACGGTAGCTGTTGTAATGTTGACGAAGATGAAGACAACGGTGTATTCACTCCATCAGTCGCGGTAGACAAAATATCAGAACTTGTGGTCATAGCTGCGGTCGTTTCAAGTGTTGTGGTAGATGGGTCAAGAGTTGTAGTGGGTGGTTCAGTAGTTGTAGGTGCTAGTACCTCACAGTACTCGCCCGTGTACCCTGATGTACACTTGCAGCTGTGGTATGCCACACGACTGGTGGTACGAGGATGGGACACGCAGGAACCGTTGTTCAAACACGTCTCGCCAACTTGCTCGTCGCAACTAGGAACTATGAGGACAGAGAGAGAGATAGAGAGAGGGAGACGGGTCATTCGAAATATCATAATCAGGAGATATAGTTAAAACAATATTATGGAAAAATTCTGGAAATTCATCTTTCAGATAGGTGAAGCTGCCAATTGGTTATGGTTAGGAATAGTGTTGGATCCGACATATATGTTACGTATTTGGTCAGTGTTAGAAATTAACCTTAAAGGAATTTTATTCTTCTTTTTCGGAGCAAATGAGATTGAAATTTCATGGGAGCCTATTTCAATATCTTAATGAATTATTTTAGTAACAACGGCATTTTTTCTTTCGTTGACAGCTGTAATTATCACAAATCGAGTGTATACTGATTGATATAAATATATCCGACCGATTGGCATTCAGAATTCAGACGAGAGTCACTCAAACAAGACATCCTCACAGGAGCATCTGCTATTGGTTTATTTGGGTGGTTCCGTTTGCATATAAACGCCAATTAAAAAGTGAAAACAAAATGGTTGTATTCAAACTTAAATGGAAACGAATGATGAAATCTTACTTCCTCGACACGTCGCGTTGCTCTCATCCGATTGGTCGGGGCAGTCTGGTATGACGTCACACACAAAAGAAGCGAGGAAACAATCGTTTGGGGACGACGCGCATTGGACGAGTTTTACCACAGATGATATGGACGAGTTACATGGCAAGGAGCCTTGTGATATTTCAAAATAAAATAAAAAGAGGTTATTCAAAACAAAAGTTATATAAATTTTGAATATTGTCCAAAAATTCATCCCTCAAAATATTTGTTTCATAGCAGTTTAAATACAAGCCCTATGCTTATGCATAATGCTACTTTTACTTACTGCCCCTTATGCGTCCCAGCTGGCATGCAGATTGAAATAATGAAATGCAGTAACGAAGGTTTTATTCTTAACTCCAGAACATGCGATCTATAAAATATGCAACTATTTGTACTTTTGATTAATATACATTACCAATTCCCGAGCGTACAAAACAAAGAAATTTTTTGTTTTTCTTTTCTTTCAGTATTAGATTTCAGTAAAGATTCTCCACAATTTTCTTTCTCTCTTTCTCTCTTTTTCTCTCTCTGCCTCTCTCTCCCCCCTCTCTCTCTGTTTCTCTTTCTCTCTCTGTCTCTCTCTCTCTGTCTCTCAATATCTCTCTCTGTCTCTCTGTCTCCCTCTCTCTCTCTCTCTCCCTCTCTCTCTCTCGCTCTCTCTCTCTATCTGTCTCTCGCCTCCCTCCATCTTTCTCTCTCTTTATTGCTTCCATGTTGAATCTTGCTCTCGTGCCTTTTTCTCTCTTGACAGGTTCCCAAACAATGCCTAAAAACATCGAAGGTTCTCATATTTGCAACTTCTCTAGAATACATATTTCACGCCTATAGTGACTATACAGCTCCTGATAACACCAGATCGAACCAGATAGAAAAAGTGGAGGCTTTGAACATTGAACCAAAAAGCATTCGAAATAAGCAGTCAGTTTGTTACGCATTATTTATTGCGGTCGTGGATTAAAATGATTATCACATTTGTTTGAGTACATGCACTTGGAAAAGATTCTTGAAGCATTTGTAAAGGCATGTCAACAATACTAGCCGAGCTCGTCACTGCGATATTGTTTACCTAGCACCATATGTTGCTGCCTGCTTAGATCGCGACGCCCAAAATAAACGTGAAGAAAAGTCAATATATTCGACATGAGTAGCATGTTGATGAGCAGTCGCATCAAAATTGGCATATTAGTCGATTGATCATGAGAAATTTGAAATTGCCGTGAATGTGTTCCAATTTGCTTTGGGCTTTTCAAGCGACTGGAAAATAGTAATTGTAAATGTATATATTTATGTTGACAGCCAGAAGGGCGTAAACTCGTTTAGTTCTCAGCAGATCTGTTAAAACCCTTTTTTGGCTCTCATAAAAAAATTAGCTATCACGTTCCGTACAGAGGCTAGATTACGAAATTCATCATCACTTCTCAGAAAACTATACAAACGCCAATTTTATATTGTGCTGATATTATGTCAGACATGGACATTTTGTCATGCTCCTTGTTTTCTGGGAAGGAACAGGTCGATATTATTCTTTCTTTTGAACAAACTGAATAAGCTAAAATAGATTGATAACAAGTTAAATTCATTTAGGTAACACATAAAATAAATTAGAATTGAATGAAAATCATTGTTGTGCAGCAATGCAATCCATTTAAAACTTCTACTCACTTCGTTTTCTAACAGTAAGCTCTCTTTCCTTTGATGAAAACGCTCCTGATCCAAACAACACAAACGTTACTGAAGTTAACAAGATGGCGACGAGTAGCAAAAGGACGTAAAATCTCATGTAGCGGTGGCAAGACATACGAATGTACGTAGCAGAACTCCTCGACGATAACTCCATAAGGAGTTCAAGTCATTATGGAATTCGTTTCGTTGTTCCTTTTAATTTCCAGTCGTAAATTCCATCATTACAAAACAACATTTCTCCGTTGATTGACTTTATAGAGAAAATCCATACGAAAATCTTGGTATTGATAATGCAAACGTTTTTACTTTCAATTGATTTTCGTAAATCATTCACCTCGTCGGAAATCTGTATTTTCTTCAAGAACAATTCTTTCATTCGACTAGTAAGATTATCTGCATGATCTATGGCTATTAGAAGAGCTGATCCAATTAACTTCGAAGACTGTATTCACTTTATCGATATAGATGTTGTCCAGTGCTATTAAACACGATCGAATTTCTACCACTGTTAATCACTATCAATTATGAACGTAATTTAGCACATATAATTACCGCTCTTTCACACTGTTTTTTCAGAGAGGAGCATCGGAAAGGTCTAAAGCAACCCAGTCCATTTTGGCAATCACTACAACAAACGTGACAGGCATTAAGATCCCCTCAAAAATCTTGTGAATCTCGGAATGCAATGTGACGACGTTTCACCTTTTTTGTTATCAGTTTGCCGAACATGTCAATTGTAACAATGAAACGTAGAATATATAAACCTGTAACAAAGTTTGATCCTGGAGAAGCTTAATCAAAAGTAAACGTTCGCGAATAACCAAAAAAAATGAAGAATGAAATCGTAAACCAAACATGGATTTATGAGTACATTTCGAGTGCTAATGGTGTGCGTTCTCGTGATGTAATGGTGTCTTTTCTTTAGAAATATTGCATATATGCTCGCTTTCTCCTGATTTGCTCATTTCCATAATTAAAAAAAGGGTGTGTTGTTGATCGATCGCCTGCAATCTGTTCTCGTTATTTGCTTTTCCCGCGAACCAAGATAATAACTTTCGGATCACTCCTATTTACTTTTTTTTTTTAAATGCTAGACCCATTTTCTACGTCACCTCTCCACAATTTTGTCTTTCTATCTCTCCTCTCTTTTCCTCTCTTTCTCTCTTTTTCTTTCTCTTTTTCTCTCTCTGCCTCTCTCTGTCTCTCTCTGTCTCTCAATATATCTCTCTCTGTCTCTCTGTCTCCCTCTCTCTCTCTCGCTCTCTCTCTCTATCTGTCTCTCCCTCCCTCTATCTTTCTCCCTCTTTATTTCTTCCATTTTGGATCTTGCTCTCTTGCCTTCTTCTCTCTTGACAGGTTCCCAAACAAAACATAAAAATATCAAAGGTTCTCATATTTGCAACTTCTCTAGCATACGAACGAAACACAGCTCCTGATAACACCAGAGCGAACATGACCACATAAATCACAAGCACAAGAAACCAATTCATGAAAATTTAAATACTCATGTTATAATTTGACAAACATGTACTATCAAAATCTGAATTAGACAATAATTCCACGTGCCATGGGTTTATCGATGAATGTGTATCAGTGGCGGATCCATGGGGCGGCAAAGAGGGGGGGGGGGGAGAAGATGGTGAAGAAAAGGATAGCTTGGGCTGATGGCCTTTTGAGCTTTAATAATTTGGAAGTGTGCCCTCCACCCCCCCCCCCCCTCCTATCCCGCCGGAGAATCCTGGATCTACCACTGTATTCCATATCAATTCGGTAAACCCGACATCACTATTAGTGATCGATAATGAGGATAACATAGGCCTAAAATAACTTAAATTCTCATATAGACATACGGTCATATTGAAGTTCATTTACATCAAATAATTAAGATTCTTACAAGCTGTAGAGTGGTAAAGCATTATGGGTAGATAACGTTATTTAAGTATAAGCACGTACAGAAAATAGCAAGGTATATATTTCGAGAGAAGTGTAGATATGACAGACAATATTAAAAATAGATAATTTAAATGAGAAAAGACTAAATAAATGTAACAAAGTTTGTACAACATCATACCATGGAGATCTCCATGATCATACTCTTCTGAAAAGAAGTGATATGAATTTTGATTATTCAGTAAAATTATTATCAAGTTTTAAAAATGTACAAGGAGAACAAGCCTCCGATTCCGGGCTCCGAGTAAGGAAGAAAAGAAGGGGAATACGAAGAAGGAGAAGAAGAAGAAGCAGTAGCAGTAGTAATCGTAGTAGTAGTAGTAGTAGTAGTAGTAGGAGTAGTAGTGGTAGTAGTAGTAGTAGTAGTACATTGTAGTAGTAATAGTGGTGGTGATAGTATTATAAGTTGTAGTAGTAGTGGTAGTAGTAGTAGTAGTAGTATTAGTTGTAGTAGTAGTAGTAGTAGTAGTAGCAGTAGTAGTGGTATTAGTAGCAGTAGAGGTAGTAGTAGTAATGGTGGTAGTAGTAGTAGTAGTAAAAGAGCAAGAGGAAGGGGAGGTAGAAAAAGAACATACATGTATATACGCATTGTCAAACTCAGCTGCAAAATTTTGGGTAAAATCAGATATTCAACCTCAAAGGAGAGGACCAGCAAAAGGAGTAAACGGTATATGCCCTCTATGTTTGAATGCTCGGGGGAAAAAAAATCAATAAACTTGCAAAGTTATTGGTACAAGCAATGTGGGAGCCAACGTTGGTGGCGAATGCCGCGCATCGAAGGATGGTGCTGGGGTATACCCTCCCCACTCCCCCTCCGCCTGTTTGAATGCTTGGAAAGAAGAAAAATCTGGAAATCTAGCAGTAGGTCTCCACATATAGCTATAGGCTACATGGGAAGGATTTACTGATTATTTTGGATAAGCCCTTAATGTATGCTGCATGGTTTTGTGACCTTTATTTTTTATCATAATTATTTGTAGGTTCTTTGCGATTCAGAGTAGTTTAAGTTTTCTTCTTCTCATTTTTTTTTTTAATTAGGTGATATAGAAGTGAAAAGTGAAAAGAAAATTAAGGAACATTTTTTCTTCTTTATTAGGCTAATTGACACCATTCATACTATGGACGATCATTGGTGCAGCATTTTTGGTTTGGTTTAAATACAAAAGTTTCCCATATGGGTGTCTGCAAATGCTTGGCATGAAGTTTGCAATGGAGATGGAAATGAAATTTAATTTTGCCTTTTACTTTTATGTTCCCACTTTGAGAAATTGGCCTATATATACTTACTGTACAATAAACAAAATGTTTTTTTTTTAATGTAAATATTACCTTAAAATGGCAACTATAACTTCATTTTATTTCATTTCATTTCATTTCGTTCATAATTTACTCTGAAGTTCCTAAATGTGCACGGGGCTTTATCTTTAAGGCACAAATGATGGTTTTTCATAATCGAAGAGGGCATAGTCAATTCTGTACATATCCCAAAGCGCCTGTACTTTTTCTTTGGAGAAACTATCAAAAAAATTACTTATATTCAACGAAGCACTGTTTGTTGGGTGACTATTTGTAGAACTCGGGTAAGTTAGATTAAGAGTAAAGTTTGAATTTTGCAAGACGTAGTTTGCCTCCTTTTCAATGTTTTCAAGCTTTCCAATGAAATCATACTTGATCTTACAGGGAGAGCAGAGCTTATAGCTCTCCTTCCAGTGCTCGTCAAACTGAGGGCGCTCTGCAGGATCGACCAAGTAATCTGTGAACTCTGCCCAGGTGATGTTTTCACCGGTGATTAGATCTCGCGGAGTGGCTCCAGGACGGTACTTCCTCATAATCCTTCGAGCGACCTGCTTCAGGTATTCCGGTGCTAGACGGAACACGTTAAGATCCTTGTACTTGTTCTTGTATGCTGATATGATCCTCGTGAAGGGTTCCCGAACGAACATGACCTTCCGGTAGTTCTTTAGCCGGTAGAACTGGTCGGCCTTGGACAACGAGCCGAAGTGAGTCAAACCATTCCGTGAGTGTGCCTCTCTAGAAGTGATACCGTCGATCATTTTCCTTTTGCCAGCGAGAACCATGAGGATGCGCTTCCAGTTGCTGCATCCAACCTTTGGAATATAACAGAACAGCAGTTTCTGGCTGTCCACCACAAACAAGTGCCGCAGGGTGTCTTTGTACAGCAAGTTCTGGTACTTGAGGTAAACAGACTTTCCGCAGGAATTTTCCAACCTTAGCTTCCGCTTCTTCTGAGAGTGCGTGATGTTGGTCAATGCTTCCAGTCGCTTCCTTTCCTCGACCCGAGCAATTTCCTTGTTGTTCCTTGTTTCTATCCGCAGTGCTTCTCTCAGCTCCTTTTCTGCTGCTCTCGCTAAAGTCTTGTTCTCTCTCTCCTGTCTCCGAAGCTCTTTCTCCTCTGGTGTAAGAATTTTGAAAGTTTGGTTCATCCCAATCGCTTGTGGTTCATCGCCAAGTCCGTACCCTCCGATCCTAGTTTGTTCTCCTATAATCCGTCTGGTTGTCATTTCAAAGGGAATATCCACATCTTCAACGAACTCTCCACATGCGTCACAACCAAAAATTTCTTGAGTTCTTTCATCATCCTGTTCTTCTGCGCCGTTTCCTCCTTCATCAGTATTTTCAAACAGTTTGTCGTTAAGTTCGCCTTCATCTTCTTTTATATTCATATTTTGTGTTCCTTCTACGTCTGTCTCGACTACCTCTTTAACCTTTTCCTGAAATGATAGAAATTAGTGCAGTGATAAGGCTAATAAGGAATAATAGCAAGTACATGTATACTATTACTACATGATGAAAAGAATAAGTCTTGTGATTAAGACAATGATAATTATAATAATCATTAAATGTTCATGATCATGATAATAATAATAATAATGATAACAATGATAATAATAATAATATTAATAGTAATGATACTAACATCCACTATAATATTACTGCTGTTACTGTTACTAATAACGATAGCTGAGCATTCCTTGAAACAGCTATATGCGCATCGTAAATAAAATGCAACTATCAATATCACTTATTATCATTTTTATTTTCACTTTTATTATATTAAAATTATCATTATCAACATTATTATCAGTAATAACATTTGTATGATTACCTATTACTACTACTGCTGTAAATATAGTCTTCTAATCTTCTTCTTGTTATCATTATTAATATTATTATTTTCATTATTATTGTTGTTGTTGATATTATTATTGTAATTATTAATACTAGTATTAGTAGTGGTAGTAAAAGTAGTAGTAGTAGTACTATTATTGTTATTATTTTTTATTATTCTAATTATTCTAATTACTCTCTTACCAGTATTTCCTGAGGTTTTATGTGCGTGAGATCGCCTTCACTTCTGGTCATTACAACCCCCATTTGCTTATCATCTCTCTCATCTGAGGTAAAAGAAGATCAGAGAAAGATGTAGGTAATACAAAGTTTTGGTAAATTTTGAAAACTGGGTGGATGGTGATTCTTTACAATTTTGATATATTTGGATGCTCCTGTGGATATATTATAAGCACTAGAAAATTTGACCCCTAAAACACTTCTGCTTTTGAGAAAAATTAAATATAAAAATTTACCGGTGCTCCCGGTAAATTTTGATAAATTTCAAATAGCGCCTACGACCGTATAATGGTAGCTGCTACCATGAAAATCTCAGAATATGTAGTTGTGATATATAATTTCCAAACGGTAATAGCTAATTAATCGATTTTAGTCAAGAAACATTGTTTTATAGCTTAATTAATAGCTTGACCTTGAGAGGGAGCTATACAACATAAAGAGTTTATTATTTACAATTTCATAACAGTAGACTCGATTTCAACCGCGACAACGATCACTGAATATTGAAGGATCGCGTAATTATGCTTCTAATATGTTCATTTGAACCAAATTCATGACTCCATACCAAAACTTTGTATTACCTTTAAGAATAAGTGAACTTGTAAACAAGGGCGGATCAGGGACTTTGTAAAAGAGGGGAATGGGTGGGGCAATATTTATTTTAAAAATCTGACAAGAAAAAAGTCACCACCACAAAGGGGAGGGGGGGGGGTCAACATCCTTAAATGTTTGTACGGTATTTCACTTTGGTTTGAAAAAGGGGAGGGTAGACGGGCCGGATGGGTCCCCTCCAACCCGCTTAATATTCAAGCTCCTTGAGTCTTAGATAAATTGGTAAAAATTGTAATAATTTATGGTCACATAATACATTTTTCTGTTCAGACTTGTCAGTTACTCAGAACATAGACTACAGGAGGACGTGCCCCCTCCCCCCCCCCCCCCGGCCCAGAAAAAGAGGGAATTGAGGAGAAAAGTAAGAAAGAAAAAAAAAGGAGCATGGGCTGATGACCTTCTGTTTTGCCTTCTTATGTCAAAGTATATGATATATATTATGTATGTAAATTTATTTTGATTATTGGTACGTTTGTAAATTGTGAGCAAAACAAAATTTCCAATATTGGACAATAAATTGAAAAAAATAAATGGTTGTGTGCTCCCACCCCTATCAGCTACCAGAGTATCCTGGATCTGCCATCCAGCGAAACACTTCATGGTGCTTCATGTTGACTAACCCAGAGTGTACATGGAGGCTTGACTAAAGCTGACAAGTAAACTGAATCTATTTCGTATATAAAGTTCAGAAACGAGTGAATCTGTGATGTGCAAGACAAACATGATAGTATATTTTTGATAAGGGCCATGCACTCACACAATAACTCCTCTCCTAGCTAACAAGAGGGAGAGAAAGAAGAAGGAAGAGAAGATGATGAAGAAGAAGAAGAAGAAGAAGAAGGAGAAGAAGAGGAAACTAATTTTATATTTTCCACGGGGATGTCAATAGAGCATAAAACATTGAAATTAAATAATAATAATAAACCAACTATCTACACATAATCAATACGCAAATTGCATGAATATATTCAAATATGGGCGTTAATGAACAGTTAAAAAATGGTGGCGAGAAAGCTACCCATGTATAAATAGCAGTTTATCACACAAAATTATGTGAACTGAGTTCTAATCCAGTCCTTCAGTCAGTAAAAGTCCTCACTTTCAGAATTCTTTGCCGAAAACGTTTCCATTTTAATTGTCCAAAGTTCTGTCCATTTCAATCAATACAAATAGTTTGTATTAAAGTAGTTTGATTGCTTACCATTTCCTCCGAGAGACATCACGGCGTAGAGGACTAGGAAGGCTGTGATGACCATTGCTGCTAGAGTCCAGAGACGCTTGCATCGTGTGGTGCACATCCTGAGAAATGGGACGGGCATGGTGTCGAATCCTTTATGATCTGTACAGTCCCTGTAAGAAGTCAAATGAAACTAATTTGTTATATCATTTTCAGTTGTTGTAACCGGTGGTGTAGCAAAGGATTCGGAGCCAATGAAGGGGACGTTACGGCCTTCTGTATGTTTCAATTCAATTCAATTCAATTCAATTCAATCAAGGTTTATTAAAGACATGAATAGCAGTCATAGACTGAATTGTACAGACTGCTACATCATTTCACAGTGCAGGTAAAATACAATGCAAGTATAAGATAATAACATGAGATCAGGAAAAATGGAATTAAATATAATGTGTACAAGCATAATTTAACATTTTGATAGGTAGTTAAATGTATATATTTAAAATGACTGTTTGTGGATGAAATGCAAGGGAACGGCCGGACCCCTGTGTATAAAGGGATTCTTGGGACCATCATGTCGGCCGGAGCGCCGTGGTTTATTGGTCAATGCTCTTGACACTCAAGAAGGTCCCCGATTCAATCCTCGCTAAGTGCTAATTACGTCCTTGGTCAAGGTGTTTCACCCGCATTTGTCCCCTTGTCCCTTTCGACCCAAGGTGTATTTGGCCCAGCTATATAGGGTAATAATTGCAGGGCCCACAGGAAGAGGAGCAGACCCTATTAGTATATCGACTGCGGTTACCTGGGGATATAATGGAAAGGTCATTCATCATTGCATGCTCTTTGACATCTGGGTTTTCTTTCTTTACACCGTCTCTGTTTCTCCTTTTGTCTCTCGACGGACACAAACAAACACTCCCCACATATACACACGCACAAGAACACCCCACAAACTCTTCCCCTCTCTCATTCTTTTTCCCCCTTCGATTTGGCCATTCGCTATACGCGTCGATCTGGTTGCCACTATTCATTAAAAAAAACAAAAAACTTTAATAATATCACTTGACACTTCAGTCCCTCTTTTTGGAACAATAAAGTTGGAAAACTTCAGCAAGAAAGAATTGACTATTCTGAAGACTCCAACACATTGTGCAAATATTCATCAATCAACTATACAGTCTTCTTTTTGCTTTCTTTATAGCCATCTCTATTTCCTTCCAAGAAATTTGACGATTGTTAATGTCCACATTTTAAATCGAGATTGCTTTTTATTGACAAACATTTTTCATTACATGTACTTACCTCCCTCCTCAATACAATCGTTCACATTTAGTTTGATTGAAATAAAGTACTACCATTTAAAAATTGTTCATCATAACTTATTCTTAGACTAACACATATCTCTTCCGGCAGTTCCTGTTAAAAAAACGGATTTCTGCACTTTTGTTAACATGTTTTAAATTAAAATAAATTCACTTAGGCCTATATATTAAACAGTACTTGATGTTGAGGTCATCGAAAAAACACGACAGTGATAAAGATTACTTACCACGTCAGCACTTTCACCAAAATATGTGCCTTACCAAAGTTTTACTTCTACACTCGGTGAAACGACAGATGCTCATTCATGTCTATCATTCAATAACTTTATGGCGACATTCGAAAAGAGCGCGAATTTGAACGTCACTTTTAAGATCGTATCGATGTTACTTTCAGGTCCAAATCGTCTGATGTTACTGCATGTACATTGATATTTTGTGAAATGTATAAGTGCAGGTCGAATGTCTTCCAGAAGGAACGTTCACATCAACGAAATGTAGTCAGATCAATAACCGGTTCGACTCTCAAGGTTCGACAATGGCCCGCTTACGTAATGTGTCAAATAACAGCATAGTTGAAATATTGATCTAAAGATTATAAGGCGAAGCAAAGGCCCTATGGCAGCCAATGTTAAACCATGGACATACCATGGTTAAACTGAGATGAGATGAGAGAAAGAGTGAGAGAGAAAGAGAGAGAGAGAGAGGGGGGAAGAAAGGACGATACAAAACAGAAAGAGAGAGGGAGAGTAAGAGAGAGACAGATAGAGACAGAGAGAGACAGACACACAGAGAGCGCGCGAAATAAAGAACAGATTTTAAAAAATTAAGAAATATATATATATAGAGAGAGAGAGAGAGAGAGAGAGAGAGAGAGAGAAAGAGAGAGAGAGAGAGAGAGAGAGAGAGAGAAGGGGCTAGGGAGGGAGGGAGAGGGAGAGATGAAAAAAACATAAACACAAATTTAAAATTCAAATGGAGGAAGCAAGAAAAAAAAATAGAGGAGCAGAATGGAAGATGCTAAGAAAAGCAAACGAGCATTGAAAAAGATGACTGAAAGAGAAAATAAAAAAAAAGGGAAATTTTACAGAAATAATAGCTGAGGACAGAGCATGGGAAACAGTAATACTAATAGCTAGATGACTTTGGAGGGAGACTGATTGAGAAGATAGAGAAAAAAACGAGAGAGCTAGATAAAGAGAAAGGGGGCACATACTAATTATGAGATGGGGTTAGAGAGAGACAGACATCGATCAATATTGATGAAGAGAGATATGAAGAAGGATGACAAGGGAAGGGATCGAGAGAGATATCTGTATAATGATAAGGGGGGGGGGGGGGGGGTGAGAGAAAAAGAGCGTGATAAACGGTTATATATTATAGGGTGACACAATTAAGGGAGAGGAGATACTAAGAGGAGAAGAAATACGAGAAATATACCGAGCCGACAAAAAATAGAAACTGGAGGAATGACCTATAGAGAGAGAGAGAGAGACTGAGAGACAGAGAGAGAATGACAGTTACAATGGAAAAATTGAGAGGAAGAAAAGAGAGAGAGAGAGAGAGAGAGAGAGAGAGAAAGAGAGAGAGAGAGAGAGAGAGAGAGAGAGAGAGAGAGAGAGAGAGAGAGCAAAAATAGCGAGAGACAAGAGAGATGAATGTAAACGAGAAGAGAAAGAGAGAGAGATAGGGGGGGGGGGGGGGGGGTATCCTCGTCGATTCTCGAGCCATAGAGGGCACTTTCAAGATGGCGGCCTACTATGCAGGTAAGCATGTGATTTTTTAAGAATTTCTAAAACTTTTTATTGAAAATTAAAAGTGCTTAATTGATAGAAATGTGATTTTATTATCTTTTTGAATTGAGATTTAAAAAATGGACATTTGGAAACTGGTGTTAATCTCAGTGTGCACGCGTGTACACTCAAACCCAAGTTGGTTGAAGAATAAATTGAGTAGATCTAGTCCCACTCGTGCATATACAAGTAGGGTGACTGATCGCGCACTCTGTTTTGTGCTAAAAGTCTAAAACCTTGGCTTGGCGCTAGTGTACTTTCGTTTCCAGACTTTGACCCGTAACTTCGGCGTGGAGATACCCTACTAAAACATCCCAAAAATCAACTAAATCTTTATCAATTGTTCTAAATTAATGGTCATGATTTAAAACTAAAAATTGTTTGGTCTTGCCTGTTTCGTGTCAATTTCCTTATTTTTTGAAGTAGATCTAGGTCTAGTTTTCCCCAAAATTAAAAACGAAGACATTATAATCAACACTTTGTCACAGGTTTCACGGCAAACCGCTGCACAATTCAATTGCATACCGTATAGCGTACCGACGGTGGGGTGCGGGGCTGGGCGCGCTTGTGTGTGAGGTTAGCGACTGTAATCTCAGATCCTTATTTAAGTTATTTAATTCATGTGAGTATAAATTCATCATTACAGTCGTTATTAATTTCACACATGTAATATCCTGTAATCTTTCTGAATTTTACTGCGGGTTGGTGGCTTTTTGGTTTTACTTTAGACTTAGAATACCCCACCAATAGGGATTATGAAGCACAGGGTAAGGGTTAGGGTTAGGATTAGAGCATACCTGATAAATTTCCGATTTAAATCAGTTTCCTAATTATTATTTTTTCCAGATTTTTTTCTTTAAAAAAAAATAGATAATCCCAGATATCGATGTAAATCCAGTTTAAAATTGGGGGGGGGGGGGGGGGGGGTGGGGTGAGGTGCCGTTTTTTCATGACTTGCTTGAAAGCAAGCGCTCAACAATAAGCTTCGCTCAACACCACGCTTTGCTTACCGGTAGATTTCTCAAACTTAAACAAAATCTTTCACTAAAACCTTCTTTTAAAAAAAAAACTCTTGCTATTACCCCTGGATTAGTGTTAGAGTTAGCTAGTAAAGAAACTTGAGCCTTTTGATTTGATTAGATTTGTTGATGATCTTTAATTTTTCAACCAATGAACACCTTGTCATCTTTCATTGTGGGGTATTTTAATTCAAAGTTGTTCCGTCTTTTCATTCCAGGGTTGCACAAGAGGCTAAAGGACAACTCGGTACCCATCGCTGACCGGGTCAAGCTGGCAAGATTCGGCTGGGTTTCTAACCACTGCTTTCTACCCAACAAGCATCAAGTCTTACTGGATTGGGTTTCCTTTAGGCTAGTTAACAGTGAGAAGTAAGTAGATTGTTCAACATGAATCATATTCAAAGATTTGTTGTTGTCGTATGTCTTCTGATAGAGAGGTGAATTTTTTTTTTTTAAAGAATCTATATTTGCTCTCTGTACCGGCTTCCAAGAGAATGTTATTTATACACCTGTACATTATTAAATCTTGTTTTCCTGAAATAAAGTGGGAAACTTGATATCGTATTATGCTACATCAGTAGGCAATAAAGATAAAAATATGTATAATAATATTATCAAGGCTCTTCATTCCTACCAGTACCATTTTAACACCTAGGTGGAGATTGGCGAATGTAGATTTATATCTTGCCAAGTGACATTAGTGCTACGACGGGACTCGAACTGTGGACCACGTAACTGAAATCACCTATATTATAGGTTTAGTCCTCAATATAGGGGGGAAAAGAAGATAAATCACACAAAGACAAGGTATTACTTAAAAATCAAAGTCCAATTTATTATTATTATGTGTTGGTCCATTACAGAGATGGTACCTCTGACGCTGATGAGCAGTCATTATGGCTCTTCCTCCATGATGCCCTCAAGAGTCAAGAAATGGCATCTATCCAACGAGAAGGCAAACCGATATGTCTTCGTGGGAACCTTTGCTCTGTAAGTATCCTCGTTCCCTCAAGAAATTTATTTTTAAGAAGAAAATTAGGGATGGCTGTTTTCAGGCAATAGCCTGAATTCAGGCCCCGGTGAGTTATTTTCATACCATAGTTTAGGCTTTTTTGTGTACAAAATAGCTCATTCTAGATGATTTTCAGGCCCTCTGATCAATTCTAACTGGCATCCCTGGAAAATGGTTTGAGTTGATTGTAGTCAGGTACTTTTAAGAGTCTCCAGATGTTATGTATTTCATAGGAAATTACTTGATTAGGAGACATTTTTATCTTTTCAAATGTAATTTTTGCAAATCAATACCAGTATTCTAACATGTAGGTCCTAAAATATGAGGTAAAAGTCGAAAACTATATCATTTTCACTATATACAGTATGTTCAATTCAATTCAGTTAAAATTCTCTGTCCAAATGATTAAAAATCACATTGACCACATCAAAGATTTATTCTATGTACAGTAATTACAGTTGATAATAAACCAAAAAATAACCCCTTTGAAACAGTCTGTAATTGTACCCCTAAAACACACAAAAATATATACGAATCAATTTTATTATCTAACATGTTTTATCCCATATTGTCTTTCCATTCAAGGCCCTGCTATCCACTCTGTTGAAAGATGATGTATCTGACATTGTGATTGGCTGCTGTGATATGATACTGACCAATGAAAAGCTTCGCTTTGTACAGAACACCAAGTTTGAATCCTTGGTAAGTGATGATTCATTATTGACGAGGATCTACGTCATGGTCGTCATCGGTTTTATAACAATATATATTCAATACAGAGACTTTTTGATGTTTTTTTTCTGACTGCTAAGAAAGCTAGTGTATGCTTGGAAGCGACCAGGGAACCAAAGGCTTAAAGTCCTCTCCGAGGGACTTGGTAATGAGGATTAATGCCTTACTAAGGGGCACTAGCGCATCAACTTGGTTTTGAACTGAGGACCGACCATTGATCTACCACTTTGCATCTCCTGTGAATATGACGTTCATGAATTTTAAATGATATTGTGTTTTCTATGTAACAAATTGTCCCACCTTTCCTGTACAGATTGCTATGACAGTTGCTTTGGTTGAGATGGCAAGCAAACATCTGGAGGAGAACGTTTGTCTAGATGAGCACGGCCAGATTTTACGGGTCATGGGCAAGGCCTTGGCAAAATCTTCAAACTTCCTTCAACAGCAGCAGAATGGCAAGAAGGTAATAGACATTGCATTTGAAATTCACATAATGCAGTTACGTTTTAATACAACATTCTAACAAAAAGGACGTTCATTAATGATCCTGTCAGCCTTGTATTGAGTTTATTTGTCCTTTGAGTACTTATTTTCTAGGTCAATCAGAATGAACTATCTGGAAGACATACACATTAATCTATGTGGTTAAGTTTGTAGGATTCCTGCTAATAACTAACAACTAAATTTCCCTATTTAAAAATACAATTCATTTTGAAAATCAAATGAGCACTAAGAAAAAATTTGGAACAGCATTTTCTAAAAAACTATTTATTCAGTGTTAGTAAGACTTACATTGTTCTTACAGTGATTTTCCTTTACTTCACCTTTTCCACAGGCCTATGGTCTCACAAGTGAACAGCTGATCCTCCCATGCCTGAGATTGTATTCAATACTCTCATCTTGTCGCCATGGCAACAGCGAGTTGTGCGTAGCCGGCTTAAATGCACTGAATAATTCATTTCGAA